ATTTCAGGTGAAATTGACCACAATCTAGATCAATGTTTCACAGCCTTTGCAATTTTAAAATGTGTGGCCTTCAACTCCCAGAATTTCCCAGCCAGCCATCATAAAGTTGCCAAGGTTAAGAAACACTGATCTAGATAGATGCTTTCTCCTTCTGTCCTATGGGATAGAAATGTCAGATATTGCCTGCATATGATGCACCAGAGACTAGAAGGGGTTAAGTCTTTACAGACATCACATGTGACTATATCAGCCAATGAACTCTCTTATTGGACTCTTACCTAGAAACCACTTGGATATCTTCCCCTTTTTTTCTCTCTCTCTCATCTATCTCTCAGCGAGACAACACATGAACTTCTCTCTCCTCTCAGCATCTGAGTCATACAGTTAGGGTAAAAATGCAACAGGACACCCTGTTCATTATCATATGCATGTATATATTTGTAAATAATAAAACAACCTTTTGAACCTGAAGCTGTATTGACCAAATAACTTCCTCATAGAACCAAATGAGCACGACCATCAGTATATATCTGTTAAGAAAAATGGCAAAACCATTTAAAAAAACAAACAAACAGTCCTTCTAAGCAGATAAACTCATCCCTTACAACCAGGGCAAACATGGTCCAGTCAGAACATCAAGCCATCACTCTGGCAAAAGCAAAGGAAGGAATTGAAATACAGAAAAGGACTTCTTAAGCCAGATTCATTCCCAGGTGCATTACAGGTGGGAGAGAATTAGATGAAAGCTGCAGTGTGGCAAAACCCTTAGATAATTCCTGCCTCAAAAATCAGAAACAATATGCTTTATGAATTAGCATTATGAAACAGCAGAGAAAGAAAGCTATTACCCTCCTGAGGGCATCTGGGTGGCTACTGTACGATGCAGAATGCTTGAGTTTTTAACCTTACCTGTCTTTCCTCTTTTTTGAACAATGATGTGAATTTAAGTCCAAGAGAGGTGGGAGGGCCTGAGAGGGCCTGGGGACAATGAGAGGACCTGGGGACAATGAAAAGAAAGCTGACTCCAGGGGTGAAATGCTCCCGGTTCGGACCGGCTCCAGCGAGTAGGTAGCGATGGCGGCGGGCAGTTCGGAGAACCGGTAGCAAAAATCCCTGCCCCCGCCCCCCATGCCCAGCTGAGCCCTGCGATCATCAGAGACTTTTTTTCCTTTTAAATGGCTCTGACCAGCCAAGCTCTGACATCCCAGCTGAGTTGCCTGCTAATCAGGCAACTCAGCTTGGATCGCCAGAGCCATGTAAAAAAAAAAAGTTTCTTTTTTTCTCCCCAACTCCTCTCCCAGCCTCCAGCTTGCTTACCTTAGCTGCTGATCGCATGACAATCGCAATCCATGCATCAGCAAGCAACTGAATCTCCCTGCCTGCAATCAAGCTCATCGGTGAGCAGCTCTTTCTGCCTGCCTGCCTTCCTGTCTAGACTTGTGGACTTCAACTCCCAGAAAAGCTGGCTGAGGAATTCTGGGAGTTGAAGTCCACAAGTCTTAAAGTTGCCAAGGTTGGAGACCCCTGTTCTATTGGGTAAGTTTTTTTCCCCTTTGGGAGCTTTTAAAAAAATAGTTAATTGGGGTTTTTTTTAGTTGTTCTTTTTTTTAGACTTAGCCATTTAAAGTTTAGGAATTTTTAAATTTAGCTGCTTTTATATAAAAATAAAAATAAATTAAAATAAAATAATATTTGTGTAGCTTTCTGAGATTTAGTGTGTTTCTGTAGTGTTTCACTCTAACTACACAAACACACAAAATCTCACAAAGCTGTATGTGGAATTTTGTGTGTGTAAAGTGTGAAAGTTGGTTTTTTGGGCTTTTTGTGGCTGTGCGAGGTTCCTGCTTGTTGCAGGGCCATTTTGGGTCTAGCACAGCTGCTTTTACATTGTGGGTGAGCCAGTTGTGTTGTGTTGTGTTGTGTTGTGTTGTGTGTGTGTAAAGTGTGAAAGTTGTTTTTTTTGTGGCTGTGTGAGGTTCCTGCTTGTTGCGGGGCCATTATGAGTCTAGCACAGCTACTTTTACATTGTGGGTTGTATTGTGTTGTGTTTTGTAGGTTAAAAAAGGGCAAAGAAGTGACATTGACTTGGCCACGCCCACCCAGTCACCTTACCACAAAGCCCTGCCCACTAATTAAGCCACGCCCCACAGAACCAGTAGCAAAAAAATTTAGATTTCACCCCTGGCTGACTCGTTTGTGAATTGGAACCCACTGAGGATATTTGCTCTAAAGGTTCTTCAAAATAAAGGTGCTTTCCAAAAGGTGATGGGACTTTCCAAGTCCATCACAACCATAAGTGACAACGATAACCTGGATGATTGAGAATCTTCATAGATACGTCCTTCAAAATAATAGGGACTGTATTATCTCCAAAGCACTGTGTTGCTAATTTTCTTTCCCTGTTGGCTCTCCTTCCTAAAACATGGTTCTCTGGCAAGGCTTTCAAACTTATAGAACAATTTCCCCCAAACTTTGGCCTTTCAGGTGTGCAGGAATATTGTTTCCAGCCTCCTGAGCCACTTTGTTTACTAGCCATGGAGAACTCTTAATTGGGAAATGCTACTTAATGATGAATGAAAGTTAGGTCAGACAGTCCTGATTTTGGGAGGGATGGATTGCTGTTCCTTCCAGTCCCCGACACCTCCTCTCATAGATGTTTCCTTCTTCTACTTCCACTTCCCAGGATTCTTCAAATTTCTTCTTCCATGGTCCAGGACAGGTAGTCATCAACCTACAACTATAATTAAGCCCAAAATTTCTGTTGTTCAGTGAGGGGTTTATTAAGTGAGTTTTGCCTCGTTTTATGAACTTTTTTTGCCACCGTTAAGTGAATGACTGCAGTTGTTTGGTTAATAACACAGTTGTTAAGTGAACCTGGCTTCCCCATTGACCTTGCTCATCAGAAGGTCACAAAAGGGGATCACGTAAGCCTGGGACACTACAACCATCATAAATATGAGTCAGCTGTCAAGCATCTGAATTTTGATCACGTCACTATGGGGATGCCTCAGACTGTAAGTGTGAAAAATGGTCATAAGTGATTTTTTTCAGTGCTGTTATAACTTCGAACGGTCACTAAATGAATTGTTGTAAATCAAGGGCTACCTATACAGATTGAGAAGGAGAGACACAGACATACAAAAAGCAAGCAGAGAATGCCTAGTCCATTTCTATGGACAGGCATTAATATCAAAGGAGTCTTGTCCATCTTCTCTGTGTTGTTGTTGTTAGTTGCGAAGTCGTGTCCGACCCATCACGACCCCATGGATAACATTCCTCCAGGCCTTCCTATCCTCTACCATCCCCCGGAGTCCATTTAAGCTCACACCGACTGCTTCAGTGACTCCATCCAGCTACCTCATTCTCAATCATTCCCAGCATTAGGCTCTTCTCCAGTGAGTCCTTCCTTCTCATTAGGTGGCCAAAGTATTTGAGTTTCATCTTCAGGATCTGGCCTTCTAAAGAGCCATCAGAGTTGATTTCCTGTAGGACTGACCAGTTTGATCACCTTGCAGTCCAAGGGACTCACAGGAGTCTTCTCCAGCACCATAGTTCAAAGGTCTCAATTTTTTAGCGCTCAGCCTTCCTTATGGTCCAACTTTCATAGCCATACATTGCAACTGGGAAAACCATAGCCTTGACTATATGCACTTTTGTTGGCAGGGTGATGGCTCTGCTTTTTAGTATGCTTCTCTATATTTGTAAGCAATCATCTATTAAATAATAGCAATAGCACTTAGACTAATATTCCACTTCACAGCGCTTTACAGCCCTCTTTAAGCAATTTGGGTCCTCATTTTACCAACCTCAGAAGGATGGAAGGATGAGTCAACCCTGAGTCAGTGAAGATCGACCTCCTGGCAGTCAGCAGAATTAGGCTGCAATACTGCACTCTAACCACTGCGCCACCACGGTTCCTGTAACAAGTCTCTTTGAGGAGGCATCTCCCAAAATTCTACTAAAAAGAGGTCAGACATACTGATGAGGGGTAAATTCCTTTCAGTGCTCATGATATCATCTAAAATGGAGATTAAAGAAGCAATAAAAATCATTGGAATTGGAAATTTCAGAGACAACCTACCTCTTTCTGCCAGGTCCTCTTGATGTTGCCTTCATTTTACTAATTTTAGTAGCCCTACTCACGTTATTCATTTTTATAGCCCATTAAGTACACAGCTTTAAGTTGTCCATTGCTGTGCATCTATTAAAATCGTCTTCCCCCACATCTTCAACACCATGCAAGGACAGTCCCGGATATGTAAAATATATTAAGCTTTGATATCCAAGGGGAAGTCAGGTGACTGAGGGACTTGAAATGGTGAGAGGCAGAAGACTCAGCAGCAGAGGTGACAAATTTCATGCTGGCACTTTTTTTTTTTTTTTTTTGCCAGCTTAAAGATAGATTAAAAAGCACTTCAGCTCGGGGATATATAATATTCATTAATTTATGAATTTTATTACTTATGTTTCTTTCCCTTCAGGATCTCCGAGGCAGCCTCTCTCTTAATTTTTGTCCTCAAAACAAAAACACTGGAATACGTTGGGCTGAAAAGAAGTGATTTACCAGTGAGGGCAACTTGAAGCTGGCTTTTCCTCGTGCTAATCCAATCCTTTAACCAACATACCTTACTGGTTTTCTTTTATCTACTTAATGCCAGGCCAACCTGTGGAACATGCTGCATCTTGAGAAACACATCCATTGCCACAGTAAATACCTGCCCTTTCAATTCAAGATCTCCAAGACAAAGAGCATACATCTTCATTCTTTTCCTGAAATAAATCACCTCTAAGTGGCATCCAGAGAATGCCAGTCCAGGTGAGACATTTTACAACTCCCCTCCCTATTGACTTCTTTGTTCAAGTTGATTCGCTTGCTTGCTCACATTCAGTTTACCTCTCCCTCTTGAAAACTAGCCATACCTGTTTGCTGCCATCCTCCCTTGCCCCTTTTTATTGAGAAGAATACACAGTTGTCCCGAAGATGGATGAGATGTGTGGGCGAGGCCTAATAAGGCAGGACCACAAGTGGGGTGGTGAGGAGAGGGAAAAAAGCGTCTCTACTCAACTCTTCCACAGATACTTTTGCAGGACAGGAAAGGAGACATGATGATGGAAGCGCTGGCAGTCTCCATGGTACTTTTGATCGGGATAACAATCAATGCCACCCGTGCAGGAGGTAAGAGGGTTGTTGCTTGGCTGTTGTTTCAGTGGATTCCATGGGAAATTAATGAAATCCTCGTTTGGAATTGAAGGTATAAAAGATAAGGTGCGACATCTTTCATCAAACATCCTCAAGCTAAACGGGCATTCCTCAGCCAAATTGCAAATTCTTTAGGGTAGGTGGGAAAAGGATGTTGGCTCTGTGTCAATATATTGCGTGAAACCTGGCGGAAGATGGAGGGAAGAGAGAAATGTTCCCACAACATGCTAATTTTGTGGGAACAAAATTTATAATTTGTTCCCACAAATTATTATAAGAAATTATAAGAAAATAAATAAATTATAATTTATTTCTTGCTAAAAATGTTTTGGTAAACCAGTCAGTGTGGTGGATATATGGTTCAATGTATTATGCCGATCCAGAAAATTAATTAAATCAGCAATCATATTGTGTGAACACGGCCTTTGGATTGCAATTTCTACCTTTTGCTAATTATGACTTATTCTTTTAATGGGCAGATTATTAACAAAGCCCTAGATTTTCACCGTTCACCGGGAAAATATTAATCAACATGTAAGTGATTTGGTGGAAAGAGAATGAACAATGATTTGTATAGAGACCTTTCCTAAAATAAGGTAAAAAATCAGGACCTAATTATGAAGAGGTCCCTCCATTCTCCATTTTCTATTTTTAAAGAAGAAAAAAAATTGGCATTTTTTCAATGGCATTTTTACACTTTTGAGAAAATTTTAAATTAACAAATAGCATAAACTGTCACAGGCAACAACCTGGTTCAGCAGATCTTGACATGAGACACATGAAAGCAAAGTGGAAAAGCTACTTGAAAGCTGATCAATGGAAAATGTTCCCACTTCTTTAATAATTAAGACAATGAAGGATCTTTGTAATACATTTAGTAATCATAAATCTAACTGATGTCCTAGGATCCCAAGATTTATATGGACAATTTCCTGATTAATGTCCTCTTTAATTTTGTTGGTAATATGCTCATTCAAACATCTAAAAGGACAAAGAGTTTCTCTTTTAAAATTAAGATTTCTTTCCAGATAAACTTTGTTCCTATTCTATTTTTGTGAGAGAGAACTAAAGTTCTGGTTTGTGATATAATAAACAAGGGTGTATAACCTTCATTTATTACAGGGTGTTCAAATTAGTGTTGACTTTGGGTGATTGCCTAGACAAATCCCTGCAGTTTTCTTAAGGCTGCAGTGGTGGAATTCAAATAATGTAACAACCGGTTCTGTGCCCTAATGATTTCTTCCAACAACCAGTTCACCAAACTGCTCAGAAGATTAACAACCGGTTCTCCCGAAGTGGTGCGAACTGGCTGAATCCCACCACTGGCTATGGTTCAATATTCTAAGACCATCTCCAAGTGTTCATAGTCTTGACTGCTATGCTTGACCGGTGGCACAGTGCTAAGAATGCAGGCTACTTCGGCTGATTGCCAGCTGACTGCAACTTGGTAGTTCAGATTTCATCAGGCTCAAGGTTGACTCAGACTTCCATCCTTCCGAGGTCGGTAAAATGAGGATCCAGATTGTTGGGGGCCATATGCTGACTCTGTAAACTGCTTAGACAGGGTTGTAAAGTATAGAAGTCTAAGTGCTGTTGCTATTGCTATCCCAGCCACCATTCTCATGGATGGTTGGCTGCTGATTCTTCACATTCTGAGCTTCCCTCATGTGCATCTAACTCAGCACAAGTTTACCTGCAACCTTAGTTTATAGTCAGCCTCGACCCCCCCTTTAAATGCACACACAAAAGGCACCTGGCTAAGTGCAGTGAGTTTTGACAGATTTCTAAACTAGGAGTTTCTGGAGCAAGTCAAGTTTATTTTCAGAATCACATTGTGCCATCGTGTCCAGGGAAATACGCTGTAAAAGAAAACCTTATCACGAGTTCGAGAAGTTTGATTGAACTCGCGAGAAGGTTTTCTTTTACAGTGTGTTTCCCTGGACACAACGGTGAGGAAAGCGACGGAGCTTGAAAGGTAAGACCTGCGTCCCGCTTCTCGCCTGCCCCACCTGCCACCCCCAAATTGCATCCCTAAAGGGGGTGGGTGGCTAAGCAAGGGGTAGGAGCCAGGGGTGAGTTCTACTTACCTTTACTACCAGTTCACAACGGTTGCTTTCTAGCGAATCTAAATCGCACGGCACAGCTGTTCCCCCCCCCTCGCTGTTCTACTTACCTTGTGAAGCCTTTTTTCCCCATGCAAAGTGTGTGTTTGGTGTACAGTGTGCATGGGTGCACAGCATGCTTTTGGCGCCCACCACGAATGCGTGGGCAGCGAACCGGTGGCAATCCGCAGAGGATTTCACCACTGCTGAAGACCGATCATGTCACCCCTAACGCTTCTGTTTGTTAGGCTAAACATATCGTACCTAGTTCATTGTATGAACCTTTATCATCTTTGTTGCTCTTCTTTACAATCCAGGATTTTTATTTTTACTTCTTGGATTTTTTTAAAATTTTACTTCTTGTTTTATAGCAAGATGAGTTAATTTAACAAAGTTAATAAATAAAAATATTTTTTTTATTATTTTACTTATCATCAATATTGTAGCAACAATAAGAATAGCACGTGGGAAATACTTTCTGTTTTGGTTAAAAAAAAAAAGTCTTTCAACAGCGGAGAAACAGCTTTCTTGGATGCAAAAATTTGAGGCCTCACAAATATTTCAAATAGTTTGGACTTGAGCTTCAAGCAGCCCACAACATAACTACTGTACTCTAGTTTCCAAACTGAAGAGTTCTTTCTCTGCACAGCTCAGATTTTAATCACATCACCCTTCCCTTACTCCTTAGCTATTTTAATACAGTTTTGATAAACAAGAGGTGTTACGAGAATCGTTTAATTTTTTTTTGTCTCTGATGATTAATCCATTGCGGAACGCACTATATTAGGGGTGTCAAACTCAAGGCCCGGGGGCCGGATTCGGCCCATGGGGTGCTTAGATCTGGCCCGCGGGGCTGCCCCAGAAACAGCAAAGGACCAGCCCATGGTGCCTCTGCCAGTGAAAACAGAGCTCAGGAGGACTGTGCATGGTCGTCCCAGGCTCCATTTTCAGCCACGACGGCCTCCTGCTGCCCTCTGCCAGTGAAAATGGAGCTGGGGGGGTGCGTGTGGCCCCCTCGAGCTCTGTTTTCACTGGCAGAGGGTGGCAGGAGGCCGTCATGACTGAAAACAGAGCTCAGGAGCTGTTTTCACTGGCAGAGTGCTCGGGCCACCACAGACGCCCCCGACATGAGTGACGTCAATCTGGCCACGCCCATCCTTGCCACGCCCACCCCAGCCCCCGAGGTCAAACACAACCCTGATGTGGCCCTCAATGAAATCGAGTTTGACACCCCTGCACTGTATGGAGAAGCTGTGGGCACTGAATGGAGAGAAAAACTCACTTTGTTTTCTTCTTTTTTTTTTCAGACCTGGTTGACTATACCCCTCATCTCACTTCTGAGGAAATGGAAGGGAAGATCACTGCTTCCACTTTTGCCCTACAGCAACCACGTTGTGTTTTCAACAAGGTTGTCGATCCCGCTGATGTTATCTGGCTGGTTGTGGCTCTTAGTGAAGGTGTGTTATGGTTCTAAGCAATGCACTACTAATATTTTCTAAAAGAGAGGGAATAACAAACCTCAAGTGGCCCCTTCTAGAGAAACAGATCTACATCACAGTTGCAATTACTATATTGATTGATTGATTGATTATTTATTTATTTATTTATTGATCGATTGATTACTGAAAAAATACTAACCCCATTTAAACTGTGTAAAAACCAGGTGATGTGGTCAGTAACCTTACTATGCAAATTAAATTCCTGTGCAGTGCTTTTTGAGTCGTATGAGCTGTGGTGGCGCAGTGGTTAGAGTGCAGTACTGCAGGCTACTTCTGCTGCCTGCTGGCTGCCTGCAATTTGGCAGTTCAAATCTCAGCAGGCTCAAGGTTGACTCAGCCTTCCATCCTTCAGAGGTGGGTAAAATGAGGACCCAAAATTGTTGGAGGCAATATGCTGACTCTGTAAACTGCTTAGAGAAGGCTGTAAAGCACTGTAAAGTGGTATATAAGTCTAAGTGCTATTTTTGCATAGAACAGCCCTCTTTTCTATTTAAAAAAACCAGCCCTCTTTTTAAAGATTATTCTTGGTTCAAAGATAATGTATGGTTACAGTCTCTACTGTATGATCCAGTTTAGCTCCAAGATAGAACACTCCATTAGATAAAGCTTTGGAAGTGCCATTATCACTTCAGGTGGGACTGGATGAGGAATTACAATCCCCAGTTTCCAACAGTGTGAATTAAAATTCACCAGCTAATCAAAGATTTTCAGAAAGGGGATTAGAGGAGGGTGGGAATTAAAAGAGGTATTAAGCCTTCATTAAGATCAACAGTTTTATCTTATTTTTTATTCCGAGACAACCCTCCAAACAGGACTTGGACATTTCAGAGTTGTACTTTCCAGTGACATTGCAACAACAGAACCCATCTCCCAGAGGTGAAATCTACTTACCTTCCCTACCGGTTCGGAAGTGGTCCTGCTGCCCGCGCATACAAACCCTCTGTGCATGCGCAAACCCTTTTGCACATGCGCAGAGGGTAGAAAACAGGTTACTTCCTGGTTTTAACCAGGAACGGCGACCAGGCAGGTGGGTGGAGCCTCATGCCGCCGTCGCTACCGATTCTCCGAATTACCCGCTGCCATCGCTACTGGTTTGGCTGAACCGGTCCGAACCGGTAACATTTCACTCCTGCCATCTCCTCATCCCCAACTTTTTCACTCTGGCAATGTGCATAGACGTGTTCCCAAATGAACTTAACAACTGCAGCGTATGAAAGGAAAACAGCTGGGCTGGACCTCAATTGAATGTTAAGGGAATTTATGTTATGGCAAGAAATGATTGCATGCCATATGTGCAGAAATGACCTCTACTAGGTTGTAATGGTCCAGGATTCCTGCACTGACAATGGATTGCAAAAGGGATTAAATTGATTATAATGGTAGTAATAATAAAGTCCTGGCTTTTTTCCAGATACAGTAGGTTAGTTTCCATCCAGCACATTTTCGGTTTATCTTTTTTTTAAAAAAATAATATTTATTAAATTTCCAAAGATTAAAATACACAGTACAAAAAGAAACGTAATACACAAAAAAAGCAAGAAAAACGCACACACACACACACACACACAAACCAAAAAATATAAACAACCAAAAACAAACATATCAAAATTTCAATACTAATAACAACTTTTCTGCATTGGTATCTCTAGCCTATTTAACCTCTTTACACAAATTCTACTTCTAAATATCTGTATCTTAAACTTACATCTTTATCTAAATTATCTTGACTTCTATTTACAGTTCGATCCCATAACAAAAACAGTTTTATGTTTACTCTCCAACCAGGAATACCATTTATTCCATATTAAATAGTACTTGGTGTCCTCCCTCTCCTTCATTTCCATAGATAATCTGTCCATCTCTGCACATTTGTATATTTTTTTTATTATGATTTGATCTGGTATCTGATCGTTTCCAATTTTGTGCTATCACAATTCTACTTGCTGTTAGTATGTGTAATATGATATATTGTATACTTTTCTGCATTTTCCCTTCCAGAATACCCAGAAGAAACAATTCTGGCTTTCTTTCTATCTTCTGCCCTGTTATTTCATCCAGCCATTTTTTATTTATTTATTTATTTATTTTATTTTATTATATTTCTATACCGCCCTTCTCCTGCGGGACTCAGGGCGGTGTACAGCCAGGATAAAACATAGCATATAAAATTTAAAAACATTTAAAAAAACAATTAAATAATTTTGGCCCGAATTTAAAACAACCCAATTTAAACCGAAATTTTTTAATCTTGTCCCAAAATTTCCTAATCTTAGGACAAGTTCACCACATGTGGTAGAATGTCCCTTGTTTGTGTCCATATCTCCAACAATTCGGAGACCTATTCGAGAACATCCTGGCCAATCTCGCTGGTGGCAAATGCCATTGGTAGAACATTCTCAGTTTATTTTTATGATCAGAACAGAGCAAGTATTTAGGCTGCTCAGATTAGACACCAACAAAATAATATAGGTTGGTGTCAGTGGTGGGTTGCCCCCGGTTCGGACCGGTTCACAAGAACCGGTAGTAAAACTGGCGGGAGGCCCTGCCCACTGCCCCGTATGTCGTCATCAGCTATCTGCGCATGCGCAGAAGTAAGGCGCATGAGCGAGCGATCCCGTTGCGAACCGGTAGTAAAGGTAAGTAGAACCCACGTCTGGTTGGTGTTAATCATAAATATCAGCAAACATCAAAACAGTTAACTGGCAAAGCTGGACAAAAGGCAGGCAAAAGCACAGAATGTGAGAAAGAGGAACAACATGCAGTGATTTGTATTGTCTATACATCTAACTACAGGTAGTCCTCAACTTACGACCGGTCACTTAGCAACTGTTTGAAGGACCAATCCTTTATTATTTGTTAACTTAATTTTGTTGTACATTAACGAATGTCACTTGCTTTGTGAGATGAATGGTATTTAAATTTGATGACGATTTGGTGGATAAGGCATGATGGATCCATCACTCACAACTTCAGCTTTATTGGAATGGAGAAATAACCATTTGCTCTTTGTCCCTCTAGCTGTGAAGAGTTTCAAAAATCCCAAAACGCCTGGGGATCTGCCTTACCAATCTTTTGCCAAGAATTATTTTTACATGACTTTGAACACCACGGTATCAAACTACCCCTGTCCAGAAAAAAGCGATGATATTGCCATCCTGCGTGTGGGAAGTGAAACCGAGTGTGTTGTGGATCTTTGGCGGCCAGATTGTAATGGTCCCCTCCCAGGCCCCGGACCGTACAGGTGAGAAAAGAATATTAAAAGTTTCCCTGAAGTTCTTCATAACTTATTTCTTCATTGTCTAAATTAATATCAAAATAATATATATCCATTATACAGAATTGACATCTTTGAACTGTGGTGCTGGCGTAAATTGTAGCATATATTGTTTGTTATTGTTTTTAATCATGGGGCCAAATTTATATATATCTTTTTAATTGTGTTTTAATGTTTGTAGTTTATACTTTTACTTGGCTGTTCACAGCCCTGAGTCCTTAGGGAGAAGGGCGGTATACAAATTTAAAAATAAAAATAAAATAAAATGAATAATATATCATGGTCACCCAGAGTAACTAACAGAGAGGTGTCAAATCGTATAAAACCAGACACATCACTGGAAGTTAAAAGTCATAAGACTACGTCTGATTTACTTTCACTATGTTATGTGTGTGAATTCTTTGGAGAAGGCAATGGTGCGAGGAATGGTAGACAAGGAAGAGGAAAACAAAGAACACACTGGCTTGATAACATCAAATTTGATGCAAAGTCGAACAACAATTTTGTTCTTGAATTTTCCAGTGTTTTGTAACAATAGATCAAAAATTTATTCTTCTAAGAAAAAAGCTCAATCAATTATTTAGGTTGCAATAGCTTGTCTTAGGAAATATGGGCGTAAATCACTAACAGGATTCCTTGTCAAAGGGTTATTTCTCTAAGAATCTTGGACCACAAAAAATGACTAATTGGATGTTGACACTTAAGGTAATTGTGCTACATTTCCTGTTCATTTCTTGTTACAAGCCACCTATTTGGCAAGGAAGGGTTTAGTAGCCACATTCTAAGCCAACATGGGCGCTGGGTGATTGGAAGAAGGGAATCCAATAGAAGATTCTGGTGGCGCAGTGGTTAGAATGCAGTACTGCAGGCTACTTCAGCTGACTGCTAGCTGCAGTTCAGCAATTCAAATCTCACCGGCTCAGGGTTGACTCAGCCTTCCATCCTTCAGAGGTGGGTAAAATAAGGGCCCAGATTGTTGGGGGCAATAGGCTGACTCTGTAAGGCTGTAAAAAGCACTAAGTATATAAGTCTAAGTGCTATTGCTAGTGCTATTGCTATTTTAAAACTGTGATTTGCCTATTTTAGAATTTACACTACAATTTTCAGGTACTTCCTTTATTGATCTGGGACAATCAATCATCAGTCTATCAATCATGTGTTCTCCATCTCAGAATGAAGGGACAAGGGTCAGTTTTGATGCTCATGTTCAAAGGAGGGTCCAAAAACCAGAATAAAAGGAAGGTGTAGGTCTCATCTGGCCCAGGAACCACTGGTTCTCCATGCCTATACCAAGCCTGCCATACCACACCAAATTATGAATCAGTTTCACACACAAAAGTATATCATTTTTCTTTCTCCCCCTCCCTGTTGTTCAGGGAGAAGGTTTACATGTAGAACCTTAACTCCCTGTGGAGGTTTTCTACTGTTGTTGTGGCCCGCCAGTCGCCAGCAGAGCTGGCAGGAGATTTGGACAGTGAGAAGATTGGGGAGGAACATGGGGCAATCCTGGAGTCTGGGGAAGGCTCTGATGAGGGCTCTGCGTCAGAGGCAGAGAGGGGGCCAGGGCCATATGCCAGCTATCAGCTGCCTTCGGAGTCAGACATCAATGAGGCAGACGAACAGCTGGAGCCTGTTCCCAGTGTGTGCATGAGCAGAGTTGCCAGACAAAGGGAACAGCTAAAGAACAAGGGTCGACTTGGGAGTAAGGCCACAGATGGACAATGAATGGCCCCTCCCAGAGGGAATAAAAGAGGAGCGAAAGGAGAGTGGGCTTTTGCAGGAAACAATTCGTTCGATCGGTCGTTCTGTTGAAGAGTGTGAAGATCTGTCTGTGAATCTCAGAGACTTTGTGCCAAGTCTTTCCTTGCACAGCACTGCATTTGGAAAATATTTACATGGCAGCTTTCCAAGCTAGATAAGGTATGTGGTCATAAATTCACCTTTGAAAGATTGTTTGCCAGGCCTTTGCTGAAGGTGAATGAGAGGAATTCACTGTTTGTTTAATATAAGGGGTTTTGTCGGGACCAGTAATCTGCTTGGTGCTTTTTGGGAAAGCTTAGGTCAGAACAACTGTTTATTTATTTTTTTAAAAAAATTCTTTTCTATTCTAGGAGGGTGGTGGCCACAAAGCTCTGCTCTGTATGCCATGCACATTAAAAGCAGGCGGAGCTTTGAACTGATGACCATCTTGACTTTTTGGGACACTTTGCAGACACGCCTGCTCTAATCTCTGGTCACTTGCCTATTCTCCACCATGCTTGCCTTCTTTTTACAGCTGATGTTCTTGTTAATGACACTTGTTCTGAATTGCAGTTGTTTTTAATGAGGTTGTTTTATTTTTTGCCTTGTAACACTGGATGGTACTCCCCTCCATTATCCTTTTCTCACATCTGTATTTCAATCCTCTTTTTAATTATTAAATTAATAGTTAAAAAGCAAATAGAAATGCAACTTACATTACTAAATTAATGTTAGCCGCGGGGTAGACATTTGTTAATTAAATTAACAAGTAAGGCAGTGTGGTTATTGGGCACACAATTCCCCCAAGAATTCTGAAATTCGCATTTAAAAGGCAGCTAAGGTGGGAAGAGAATGGGGGTCCACATGTGACATAGCTATTTGGGGTTTTTTTTCCAAGACAAGAATCCCATCCATGTTAATGGTAGAAATTAGAATGGCCTTACCCAACCAATGTTGGTCACAAGCATCATACTACAAACCCCATACTTCCCAGCCTCACTGCGTGGTGAAGTCAAGGGCATGTGGGAAAAAAGATCAGGCAGGAACAGTTGCCATTTATTGGGGGGGGGGGGGGAAGCAATTACTGACAAATTTTGGAACACCTTCACTGTTACTGACACTCAGAGCCTTCTCTTTCTAGGGTCAGATTCCTGGCAATCAATTCAACAGGCGTCGTCGTAAAAGAATCAAAATGGTCTGATCCCATCACACTGATTCGAGGTAACTAGAAATGGGTATCACTAGCATCACCTGTCACCTATCCGGCCTGCTCAAATCCCATTCATTTTGGTCAGACAGTCACACTTAGCCTGGCTAGGTGGCTCAGTGGCTAAGACATTGAGCTTGTCGATCAGAAAGGTCAGCAGTTCGGTGGTTCAAATCCCTAGTATAGGTCTCCTGCATGAGCAGGGGGTTGGACTAGATGACCTCCAAGGTCCCTTCCAACTCTGTTACTGCTACGTGGACCTACCTCTGCAATACTTCATGTACACTAACCTGAAAATAAGCATTAACTTCAGCTGGGTTTCTTTCTGAAAAGGAGCGAAACCATTGTATACTGAGTCTGCCTTTCTCCTCTGAGAGGGTTAGTTTTAGTATTGTGATTTTTGCCACTATTAGTTATTTTCAACTCTCTGAAAACTCCCTGGTGTTGCTTCACAAGTGGGCAACCTTAGACATTGGAATTAGACATTAGGGTTAGTTTCACTGGGTGAAACCAGGCTTAATAGCAGTAACTGTGAGAGGGATCTTGAGCAGTGTGCGGCGGCAGCCAAAAAAGCCAATGCAATCCTAGATTGCATTAACAGAGGGATACAATTAAGATCAAGTGAGGTACTAATAACACGCTATAAAGCCCTAGTAAAACCACACCTAGAATACTGCATCCAGTTTTGGTCACCACACTATAAAAAAGATGTTGAGACTATAGAAAAAGTGCAGAGAAGAGCAACTAGGATGATTAGGGGCAGTAGTGGATTTCAATTTCATTTAACGGTTCACTCGTGGGCACGCACAATGCTTCTGTGCATGCGCAGAAGTTTCAGCACATGCACAGAGATGTCCGGCAGGGTGGGTGGAGCCTCCTGTCGCCGCCACTACCGGTTCGCCCAATCCAAGGTGAACCGGTAGCAACCCACCACTGATTAGGGGATTGGAGACTAAAACATATGAAGAACGGTTACAGGAACTGGGCATGGCTAGTCTAGTGAAGAGAAGGACCAGGGGAGACATGATAGCCGTCTTCCAAAACTTGAGCGGCTGCCACAGACTGAAGAAAGAAATATTTCAGGCAGGGGTGAAGTGGTCCCGGTTCGGACCGGATCGCCTGATCCGGTAGCGATGGCGGCGGGTGGTTCGGAGAACCGGTAGCAAAAATCCCTATGCCCCCCCCATGCCCAGCTGGGAGCGTCAGAGGCTTTTCGAAGCATTTTTTTCTGCAACCTCTTCTTCCGAAGAGGTGGTAAAAAAAATGCTTTGAAAAGTTAAAAAAAAAGGTGGCCACGCCCACCCAGTCACATTACCACCCCCTCATCAAGCCACACCCACAGAACCAGTAGTAACAAATTTTGCATTTCACCCCTGATTTCAGGTATTACAAAAACTATTCTATCCTGGAGAAAGGAAAATTCTTCTAAGATGGCACCTTGAAAGGATTACATGATAAAAATATAAATTTGTTTTTTACCAGGGAGAAATCCTGACAGAATTGTTGCCAAGCCCAGACGGCGGAGAACTGAGACAAACGTCATTATTACCATCCTCTCCATCCTCTCTGCCATTCTTGTGGCTGCTCTCATTGCCGCCTTCATCTATAAATAGTATGTTTCATATATCTATGAATATATGTACACACACACATCTATCTACCTATCTACCTACCTACCTACTACCGTGTTTCTTTCCAGACACAAAATAACAGGTCTTATTCTTGATGGATTTCTTTTTTAAATTTGATTTATATGCCGCCCTTCTCCGGAGACTCAGGGCGGCTTACAGTGCGTTAAGCAATAGTCTCCATACTTTTGTATATTTATACAAAGTCAGCTTATTGCCCCCACAAACTGGGTCCTCAATTTACCTACCTTAGAAAGGATGGAAGGCTGAGTCAACCTTGAGCCTGGCGAGATTCGATCTTATTTTAATTGCAGACAGCTGGTGTTAAATTACAGTGCTTCTGTCTGTTGAGCTATCCAGGCTCCCGGATGTCTTACCCACTTATCTTAGGACCACTGCAGCCATGCTTCCACGCCTGACACCTGTTGCTCCGCTGTGTGACTTCTGCGGCCGCTTGTGGCCGCTCGCAGCCAACACCGCAAAGCTTGTTGCACCAGTGCTGCCGCATGTGGCAGGAGGTTGCATGGCACATTGTGCCATTGAGCAGTGGCATTGGCATGATGAGCCTCATGGCATCCTGCCACAAACGGCAGTATCAGCGTTATGCACCACGTGGCATCCAGCCACGAGCGGCCGCAAGCAGCTGCAGAAGTCGCGCAGTGGCATGACAGGTGTCAGGGCATGGGAGGCCTAGCTGCAGCGGTCCTAATGTACGCGGGTGCAGGGCGCATGGGGCAGTTGTACCCCCCCACCCCCATAGTAGCTTGATTTTTACATCTGTTCCTTGCCCCATCTTGTACAACCAGATGGTGGGCAAGGCTTAAATAGGACTTATTTTGGGGGTAGGGCTTATATTAGGCACAGGCATGAAAATCAGGCTAGAGCTTGTTTTCGGGGTAGGTCATATTTTTAGGGAAACATGGTGTATCTCTGTATGCATATGTATTTTTCTTGACATTGTGAGAAAATCCACACATTTCACTAGAACACAGATTTGCTTGCTTTTAGGGATAAGAATCTAGCCATTGTGATTTATATACCATTATTTACAGCTTAGTACAGTGCGTGAGGCCAGCCAAATGTGGTTTACTTAAAACCACGTTTAACAAACATTTGGCTCAGCACAATAGACAAACTTGTCCATCTGGAAAGTCCTCCCAACCGTGAGGGAAAAGGTTCTTGCTGAATCTGGACTGAATGGAGTGGACCAACTCGTCTAGGAAATGATGAATTTAATTTAATTTAATTAATTCAATTTATATGCCGCCCCTCTCCTAAGATTTTCTATATTGTGGTGGAAGTTCTCCATAGTCTTTGGTAGGTCTTCCCCAAATTTGATACCTGAGATTCTACAAAGTGGGAACCTTCTGTACCGAAAGACAACATTTTTCTCTGAGGTGATAAGTTGTCCTTCAAATGGCTTCTCGAAACCTAAAGGCGCCGTGGGAAGGCTGCCATAAAACAGATGGGGAAATGTCAATGTTCTTCAACTAGTTGTCTATTAGGTAGGCTAACCCTATTATCTTGTGTAATTTCTAAGCCCTACATTGTATACTCATTTTCATTCTTTCTCTGCTTTTCTTTTCCACAGTTCCAACATTTGTGACAAACCGATGTCTGCCGATTTTGTGGGAATACAGGATCCAACCATAGTACGCTACACCACTCATCAAATGCATGATCGGTTGTCCATCAAGTAATGAGCTCCTACGTTGCTGAGGATTAGTCAGTATTTTCTTTCCTTTTCCTGCCTGCTTCCGGTTTCATTTATTAATTGCAAACTTCCAGTTGTGTTTTATGTTTGAAAAAGGGCTGCCACAGGGCTGAAATCTAAAATTTGTTACTACTGGTTCTGTGGGCGTCGCTTGGTGGTGGTGAGGGTAATGTAACTGGATGGGCGTGGCCAACTTTTTTTTTTTACTTTTAAAAAAATGCTTTTAAAAGCCTCTGACGATCAGGCAACTCAGCTGGGATCGTCAGAGGCTTTTAAAGGAATTTTTTTTCCTAAGAGGAAAAAAGAGGTTGCAAAAAAAAATGCTTTGATGATCGTGTGGCTCAGCTGGGCATGGTGGGGAAGTGGGTGCACAGGGATTTTTGCTACCGGTTCTCCAAACCACCCACCGCCATTGCTACCGGATCGGGCGATCTGGTCCGAACCGGGAGCATTTCACCCCCGATGCTGCCGTGATGATATGAGTTTGACACCCCTGGAGTAGATGATCAATGTTCTTTCAAAATTGTTTGCCTTCCTGGATTGAAAAATTGATTTGTAATGTGATAAATATATTGGAAATATTTCTTTTATCAATAGAGACATAAAATCTGTGAAAAAGGTTATCATTTGTGCCCATTTTCAAAAGATGTAGTCCTTAATGCAACTGCATAGTTCTTAATGGAACTGCATCTATATGGAGGGAAGTATGCAATGGGGTATCAAGATCATGTGAAGTGTTAGTACCATTTTATAACGCCTTGATAAAACCACTCTTGGAATATTGCATTGAGTTTTGGTCGCCACAATAAAAAAAAAGATGTTGAGACTCTAAAAAGAGTCTAAGGAAGAGTAATAAAGATTTAGGCAACTGGAGGCTAAAACATATGAAGAATAGTTGTGGGAATTGAATAAGGGTGACATGATAGCAGTGTTCCAATATCTAAGGGGTCGCCACAAAGAAGAGGGGGTCAACCTATTCTCCAAAGCACTTGGAGGTGGGACAAGAAGCAATGGATGGAAACTAATCAAGGAAAGATCCAACCTACAACTAAGGAGGAAATTCCTGACAGTTAGAATAATTAATCAGTGGAATGATCTGCCTCCAGAAATTGTGGGTTCTCCAACACTGCAAATTTTAAAGAAGAAATTAGACAATCATTTGTCTGAAATGGTATAGGGTTTCCCGCCTAAGCAGGGGCTTGGACTAGAAAACCGCCAAGGTCCCTTCAAACTCTGTTATTCTGTTAAGATACTTATTATATGAGTTTGCCTAACTTGTAAGCCATGGCATAATGGGAGTGGGAAAAGATGAGTTGGTTCTATGATTAACAGCTAAACATCATACAACCCTTTAAGCTCTTAGTTTAGCTGGCCCAATGCAATCATTTAAATAGTTTTATCTCTATCTATCAGGTAACACTAAACAATTATTCTTGCTTAAGGTGCCAAGAAGACCTACAAAATGCATTCTTTCTAGGCTATGTGTTCATATGCCAATCTATCTTTGATCGGTCATTGGTAGAGTCCCTTGATTTATTTGTATCTCAGGAAAAGAGGGGGACAATTGATATACTTATGATCAGCGGCCTCAAAATATTCTCATTGGTCTGTAGCAATAGCAATAGCACTTAGACTTACATATTGCTTCATAGTGTTTTAGAGCAGGGGTCTCCAACCTTGTTCCCTTTAAGACTTGTGGACTTCAAATCTCAGGATTTGAAGAACTCTGGGAGTTGAAGTCCACAAGTCTTAAAGGGAACAAGGTTGGAGACCCTTGCTTTAGAGCCCTCTCTAAGCGGTTTACAGAGTCAGCTTATTGCCCCCAACAATCTGGGTTCTCATGTTACCAACCTTGGAAGGATGGAAGGCTGAGTCAACCTTGAGCCAGTGAAGATCAAACTGCTGGCAATGGGTAAAGTCAGACTGCAATACTGTATTCTAACCACTGTGCCACCATAGCTCCAGTAATGAGAACATTCCATTTTGTTAACCAACTAGGACAACGGTGGGACAGCAGGATCACTAACATATTCTACAGACATAGCTGAAAAATCTTTGGAACGAAATACCAGTGTGTGCTACAATCCATGAAGACAAAAAATAAAAATGATGAAACCTGGGTCATGATGTCAGAATGTAAATCCTAGCTATAAAGGCAATACAAGATGGGATCCACCTCTAATTCCCATTACAATGTAATGTTATATTTATTCTGATGTTAAAAAAAAAACTTGAAGGGGTTTGTAATAGGATTTCTCTGTTTTAAATCATTTGTTTTCATAAAGCAAAATTATGAATATTATTAAGAGTAAAATTATATTCTTTCACAGCCAAGATATGATTGTGTTATTTTTATTGCATTTCCCAAAGGAGAATTTTTTTTATTGGATTTTTTAAAATTGGATCTCACAAGGAAATTAATTTTCTTAGTTGGAGACTCACAGCACTCAACACAGTGGTGAGATTCACCGGTTGTAATTACGCATAGTAATTAATGTTATTGTGAAAAGCTAAGAAGCCATTAAGAAAGTGTAGGAAGTTAGCACCCACCCCTCTCCTAGAAGAATGAAATATTTTAGGAAATATTAAAAAGGCAGAATATATTTCCCTGGATGAGAAATGGAGAAACATGTTTTAAAGACAAAGCAGCTTCCTGCCCCCCGACCTCTTTGTCAATGGGCCAGAGGCAGAAACCCAATCCACCCCGCCCTTTGTCAATGGACCATCATCTGCAACACAATAGGATCCATCTAGCAACAGAAACTCATCACATGGCACCTGGGAAGATTGCATCACCCCCCGCCCCCTGGGAGTCTGACAACCAATCAGGATACTCTTCCTGTGCCCCAGGAACAGAGAGGGCATAAAACCAAGGCACGCTCAGCATCTTGCCCCTTTTTCTGTTCAGGAACTCAAACCATGTGATCCTGTCCACCATTAAACCATCTTTCCAAGCATCTTTTTCCCCACTTTCTTCCAACAAAAGAATTCTGGCAATTAGTGTGCATCAAATGCAAATCCTATATACAGTGAAATAATACTTCAAGTTCTTTTCCACCTATTCCTCCTGCCCAAACTGGCTGGAGGTCCATTTCTTTGGGCAGAAGATCTGGTTTTCACCCATCTTTTGTTTTGGCCATGATCTCACATCTGGTTGCTTTCCTCTGCCTGCATAAGAATTTATTTCCACTAAGTGCTACAACTGTAGGAAGTTAGCACCCACCCCCCTCCTGGAAGAGTGAAATATTTTAGGAAATATGAAAAAGGCAGAATATTATATTTCCCTGGATGAGAAATATGAGAAGCATATTTTACAGACAAAGCAGCTCCCACCTTCCTGCCCCCCACCCTTTGTCAATGGGCCATTAAGGCCTGGGCCAGTCTATTCTACATAACAAAGATCTACCTCCTTCAGGCAGAGCATAGTAGGAATTGCCAAAGATAGGATTAACCCTCTACACAATAGCAGCAGAAACTCACCACATGTGACCTGGGAAGCACATGTGACCATCATCCAGCAAGGCCCCCACCCCCTGGGAGTCTGACAACCAATCAGGATACTCTTTCGGGGCCCCAAGAAATGCAGAGCCAGAGAGCATAAAAACCCGAGGATTTTCTGTATCTGCCCCTTTTCTGTTCAGGAACTCAAGCCATGTGATCCTGTCCACCATTAAACCATCTTTCCAAGCAGTCTCCATGTTTCCAGTGTCTGTTTTCCCCACTTGGAGCAGAACCCAGAAGGATGTTTCTTCCAACACAACGAAAGTGCAGTATTAGAAATTTAAATTTGTTCATGGTGAGAGTAGGGATTATCCTGGGATAATCAGCATATCTTATTTCCTACAAGAATGTAGGAAGGGTCATAATAGGAGTGCTTTCCTGAGTCAAGTGTTGCATTCAGTAAGTAGAGTTGCATGGTCTTGGAAGAGGTAGAATGAAACCAAAACTATATGTGCATTTATTTCCTTTGTGTTTGCATTATTTATAGTTATGAATAATTAATTGTTATTCATTATGTCTCCCTTCTATAGCATTAAAAATTGAGAAACAGCATCTCAAATGTGGAGGGAGAGAGGAAAGAAATGTGATTTGTTCATTTGTCTCCTGAGTTACACATATGGCTTCTTAAAATAGCCTACAGCACAATGATTAAATCCAGAATCTAAAATTATCCAGCTGGACCATCAGGATATTATAATATAGGTAGCCCTCGACTTATGACCACAACTGAGCCCAACATTTCTGTTGTTAAGTGAGACATTTGATAAGCGAGTTTTGCCCCGTTTTACGACCTTTCTTGCTACAGTTGTTAAATGAATCACTGCAGTTGGTAAGTTAGTAACCCGGCTATTAAGTGAATCTGGCTTCCCCATTGACTTTGCTTGTCAAAAGGTCACAAAAGGGGATCACATGACCTTGGGACACAGCAATGGTCATAATTATGAACCAGTTGCCAAGCATCTGAATTTTGATCACATGACCATGGGGATGATGCAAAGGTCATAACTATGAAAAATGGTCATAAGCAGTGGTGGGTTTCTACCGGTTCGCCCTGGTTCGCGCAAACTGGTAGTAGTGGTGGCGGGAGGCTCTGCCCACCCGCCCAGACATCATCATGGATGCTCTGCGCACACGCACAGTTGCAGTTCTGAACTGGTAGCGAAAGTAAGTGAAACCCACCACTGGTCGTAAGTCACTATTTTCAGTGCCGTTGTAACGGTCACTAAACAAACTGTTGTAAGTCGAGGACTACCTGTATGTTTATAGGACTGAGATTTTTATAACCGCCAATATGTCTCTTATGGATTTCATATTCCTTATGTTGTTGATTTTTTTAATGTGTTTTAATGACTGCAGTAATCATTTTATTTTAAAAATAACTGAATTGTCCCTAAAGCTAGCCTATAGTTATACATAAAACTATGCCCAACCCCCCAAAGGGGATAAAGTTATCCTCATTGTTCTGTCTACTGCTATTAGACTGTTTTAGAAAGTTTTGGATGCCAGGTTATCCTAGAAGTCCTTCATCCATGTTGCAGTCGACTCCTGCACTCACCAGTCAATGTGCAGTCCTGGTAACTTGTTATTGCCAAGTTTATCTAGACCAGCGTTTTTCAATCTCAATAACTTTAAATTGTGTGTGGACTTCAACTCCCAGAATTCAGTGTTTCTTAACTTTGGCAACTTTAAGAGAATTCTGGAAGTTGAAGTCCACACATTTTAGTAACTGAGTAACTGAGGTTGAAAAACACTGGTTTAGAAGAACAGAGGTCTACTCTAGAAGGACAGAGAATCAGTCTCAATAGAAAATCTGCATTACACTTTTTCCACAGGGTGCACCAGTAAGTCTGCAGGTGAAAATGTATATCCAATTTCCATCGATTCACCTTTAAACGCTTCTGAAGAAGATCAGTCCTTCCTACCATAAATGCTGTCCCCTTCTCTGCACATTTTTAATGGGAGTTTCCAGGAACTGAACTTGCTTCTTTCAGTTTTTTCTCAATAGGTTCTGCCTTGACAAGTCCAGCTTTTGTTTCAATCTTCTTTCTCTCTCAGCATTTGTTTTTCTACTTGTCTCCAGTTTCCTTTCTTGTTTTTTGTTGTTGTTGTTGTTGCAAATACTGATGTTCCCTTGGGCTTTTCTCCACAACTTCTCCAAGCCATCTCCAACCCATCTAGAAGCCTTCTCCAACCCATCTAGAAGATGGCAGAAAATTACACTGGTGTTAAATTTTGTGGTGCCTCGGCTCCCATACCTCATTCTGCCTTAATATAAATTCAATCAAGCCTTTGAAAAATCATGAGGAATTACAAAAGAACCAAGCAGTGATGCAGAAGTTCTTGGTCCCTTGGTCCATTTCATTCTTGCAGTCTTTCACACAACTGGCCAGAGGAATAGCAAAAGTACAGTACCAATAGGATTGAATTACAGGATTACAGAATAACATCGCAGGGTGAGGTTGGATATTAAAACTTTGCCTCCAGAAGTTATGAATGCTCCAACACTGGAAGTTTTTAAGAAGAAATTTGATAACCATTTGTTTGAAATGGTATAGGGCTTCCTGCCTGAGCAGGGGGTTCAAGACCTTCAAAGTCCCTTCCAACTTTGAATCTAGGTCATCAGTAACTTTTTTGGGGGGATCTGTCATAACTTCAACCGGTCACTAAGTGATGGATTGTAAATCAAGGATTACCTGTAATTACGATTAAGAGGTGGACTAGATTTGGTCCTGGTAATATATAAAACATGGGGGAGGAAGGATGCAGTCTTCATTTTGTGTGTCTGTGTATCTATGTGTGCCTTCAAGTTAGTGTTGTGACTCCTGGCAACTGCTTGTGGTTGGCCACTGCCTCCTTCTCAGGGTGAGAGAGAGAGTGACAGGTCCAAGGTCACCCAGTTGGCTTTGTACCTAAGTAGAGACTAGAACTCACAGTCTCCTAGGTTCTAGCCCTGTGCCTTTACTACTACACTGAACTGGCTCTTTTTATCACTACAGTCACCAGCTCAGTATTTCAAAGAGCAGTTCTATATTTACGATTAAAGGTATTGTCCACTTTCAACCTAAGAAGGAATGCAGACGGTTCTGTCTCTTTTTACTCTGAGAATCGGTGCTCTTGAAATGGCCAAAACTGGAGTTACACATTATGACAATACTTTAATTAAGTTATGTTCATTTACTACCGTGATGGCGAACCTATGGCACGCGTGCTACAGCTGGCGCACTCTGCGGGCACGCGAGCTGTCGCCCAGCTCAGCTTCACCACGCATGCGCACGCACCTCCCGCTGGCCAGATGATTTTTGGGATGCACGGGGGCAGAGCGCATGCAGGAGATGCATGCGCATGCTGAGGGGGTTGCATGCATGAGCTCAGGGGGGCAGGTACGCATACTCGGGGGGCAGGAGTCGTGCGCGCATGCACGGGGGTGCCTCCCCGCAGCCCGTTTTTGGGCCCAGGAGGCTGCAGGGAGGCCTGCTAGGCCAAAAATGGGGGATGGGTAGATTGCGCATGCAAAAATGGGGCGGGGGTAGCAGGGTGTCGCTTGTGCATTTGCATATGGGGGGTGGGGGGAGCATGGGGGTCATGCACGCATGTGCAGGGGGGCGCATTGCATTATGGGTGCCTGCACGCACGTGTGCTGATACACGCCACTGGCGTGCTTTCGGCACACAACGAGAAAAGGGTTAGCCATCACTGATTTACTATATACAAATGGATTTATCTTGATCACTATCCCCCATGCAGTTCCTATTAATGGCTGTTCAGGGAAGACCATCAGTAGATCAAAAATTGAGCAAACGAGAAGACAGCCTAGGCAGAAAATAGCTGCAGGGAACATTTTATTGTTATCCAGCCCAGACTAGCTATAATGCTATCCCTCACTGAATAAACCATTTATATTTTCATTGTTTGTTTTTTTTCCTCCTCCCTCCCCAATCCCTTTCCTTGGTTCTTCCATCTCTGAAATTGTAAGACAGATGGCAAGGGCCATATATTGGTTTTTGTAAGTTGCCCCATGAACCTCCTTTGTTTGAAAAGTGGGATAAAATACTTTTCCCACTCCTGTAGTTTTAAAGATGACCATGATGTAGTCCTTGCTGTCAGTCCCTTTCTATCTGTGAATTGACTTGCTAGCAAGTTGCAGCAGGGTTTTAGCTTTTGAGATACGATAATCTTAAAATTAGGGTTCTAGGATGGCCGGCCTTTAGAAATAGGAACAGCAGCTGGGCTACCCAGGAAGAGAGGGGAGAAAGACAAGAGAGAAAGAAAGGGAGAAGAGAGACGTCCTATCTTCCAGCACTCTGTTCAAAATTCAAAATTCTTCACTCTTAGGCATCCTTTCTGGAGTTTTACAAAAAAGATTTTGTGAACCACGTTATTGGTAATGGAAAAGGGGGAAGGAAATGAAAGGGTAGCAGAAAGAGATCGATGGCAACGTGTCAGCCAAAGAACAATTCATTGGGCTTTATCGTTTTTATTGTTTTGTGATTTTTATCATTGCTGTTAGCTGCCCAGAATTGTGTGCCACAAGTTCAGTGGCCATATTAACCTTCTAACTAAACAGTTAAAATTTTCATCCACCTTTCTGCTCATCGAGGGGATTTTAACCAATTGTGGAGCTGTGGTAGTACAGTGGTCTAAAGCACCCTGTTATTAAGACCAGCTGCCTGCAATTACTGCAGGTTCGAATCTCGCCAGGCTCAAGGTTGACTCAGCCTTCCATCCTTTCTAAGGTAGGTGAAGTGAGACCCAGATTGTGGGGGCAATAAGCTGACTTTGTATAAATATACAAAAGGATGAAGGCTATTGCTTAGCACATTGTAAGCCGCCCTGAGTCTCTGGAGAAGGGCGGCATATAAATCAATTTTTTTTTAAAAAAGTCCTTTGCTTACTTGAATATGTTGCCCTTCAGCTCGAAAACAGATGCTCCAGAATGGCTCTGACAGCACAGCTGCTCTTCTTAGCCCATGGAGGTCTTAAGGAACTACATCCAAAGCAACTGCAGTTCAAAGATGTTTTTAAATGGGCCTTCTATTACTTAATTACTTAGTATCTTTCAGCACTCTGCTTGAGTTCAGGAGCATAATGTCTGACGAGGGATTTAACTTTCCAAAGGACTTCTGTTCTCTCTTCTTCCTCTCATATCAGGTCTCTCTTGCCCCTAGAAATAAGCCAAGATCCAGCATTTCTCCAATCATGGGCTATTTAGAGGAGGAAGTCAATGCTTGTCCCAAAAGTGTTTTTCAGTGGTGAAAACCAATTTTTTTTTACTACCGGTTCTGTGGGCGTGGCTTGGTGGGCGTGGTGTGGCTTGGTGGGTGTGGCAGGAGAAGGATACTGCAAAATCTCCATTCCCACCTCTCTCCAGGGGAAGGATACTGCAAAATCTCCATTGCCACCCCACTCTGGGGCCAGCCAGAGGTGGCATTTGCCGGTTCTCTGAACTACTCAAAATTTCCACTACAGGTTCTCCAGAACTTGTCAGAACCTGCTGGATTTCACCCTTGGTGCTTTTTGAAAAGGCAGATGGACTTTGTTTTTCCTTGAAGACGTTTCACTTCTCATCCAAGAAGCTTCTTCAGTTCTGACTGAATGTGGAGAATGGAAGAATTTATATTCTTTGGAGTTAACTAGTCATTATTACTACAGCTCTCTTCTGAGAGTTGTTGAGACCACTTGGAGTTTTATTCATGCCCTCAGAATCACCTGAGTCCTGAGGGTCACCTGCATATGCAAATGGCTGTGGAATCTTCTTGGGAAGGTTCCACAGCCATTTGCACTGTCCAGGTGACCTTGGGGGCACAGATAAACCTCCAATTGGCTTCAATGACTCTCAGAAAGAGAACTAACAACCAGATGACTGCAAGGAATATAAATCCTTCCATTCTCCACCACTCAGTCAGAACTGAAGAAGCTTCTTGGGTGTGAAGCGAAACGTCTTCAAGGAAAAACAAAGTCCACCTGCCTTTTAAAAAAACACCTTTGGGACAACCATGACCTGGATGACTGAGACTCTCCATAAACAAATAAGAAGAGGCTTTCCCACCAAACCCACAATGTTACCATGGCCTTACCATGAACATGGTCCTTGCTTAAAATATTATTACTCACCCTCCTAAAACAATACCAAACTCTGGTGCAGGGAAATGGAAATACACCTGGATAAATGAATAAGGAGAATAACCTTTCTTTCCCATGATATAGTCAACAGGTATCTCTGGGAAGCCCAGGCAAGATAATAAGCTGCTCCTGCTGTTTTACAGGCCCTGGTATTCAGAGGCAATCTATTTTTCTTTGCTTCAGGCTGATTCAAGAATGCACTAAACTGTTTGGGAAGATACATGCAGACACAGGTCAGGTCTCCCAGTAGTAATACTAAAATAGTACTAGCATCTGCTCTGAAATCACCAAGCGGCAGGTAATGGACCATCAGAACGGCTAGTCCTTCAGCTGGAGGGTTGCATTTTTGTTACAGAATAAGGGAGGTGGCTCAGTGGCTAAGATGCTGAGCTTGTCGATCGAAAGGTCGGCAGTTCAGCAGTTCGAATCGCTAGTGCCGTATAACGGGGTAAATTCCCGTTACTGGTCCCAGCTTCTGCCAACCTAGCAGTTCGAAAGCAAGTAAAAAATGCAGGGACCATCTTTGGTGGGAAGGTAACAGCGTTCCTTGCGCCTTTGGCATTTAGTCATGCCGGCCACATGACCACGGAGACGTCTTCGGACAGCGCTGGCTCTTTGGCTTTGAAACGGAGATGAGCACCGCCCTCTACAGTCGGGAACAACTAACACATATGTGCAAGAGGAATCTTTACCTTTACCTTAAGGGAGGTTTGGTGAGAGGAAAGAACTGTAGGCTTGAGTAACTTTGTATTAGCACTTTATTTATAAATGTACATAACACGGCACGTAGGTAGACAGTTCTGGTCTTTAAAACAGCATCAGTTCCCTCAAGGGGACACAGTGTATTTTTAGAGATATTCAAGACCCCTTTCACTTCAACTTACATTTCTAACCTTTAGCTGGTGATTTTGTACACAATGAGGGTTTTTTTCCTCCCAAACCTCGATCCAAACAATTGATACGTTGCCATCTAGTATCTTCCAATTATTATAGATCTTTAAAACTCATTCAAGAAAACCTTTTCTAGTCACCATGTTGATAGATAAATAAATAGAGAGAAGCCCTTCTCTCCAGTTTGTTCAAATTGTGGTGGTGGCAGGGGAAACAAAAAACAGCAGACAGATATTAAGAAGGAAGCGTAGCTCCTGACCTTTGGTGACCAGAGTTATCCATGATTTGGATAAAGTTAGGGGAAATCAGGAGGTGGAGTTTGGGCATTCAATATCTATTTACCATTTGCCTTTTCATAACTTATTTTTTTGAACATAATGCTTTTGCAGAGCATTAATAATAAGCATATTGTGGATAAAGTCACATTAACATTGAGCCGATGGCCACCTGGACAAGGCTACATTGTTTTCTTGACAACAAAATTTTTCTTCCTTTTTTTAAAAAAAATTGTTTAGTCATTTCCTAGTCATCTCTTACCTAAGTTCTAACTAGGTCCAATTTATCAAATACAAAAGAGTTAGACTGGTTCCCATACCAAACAAAACAGGGAAAATCCTAAAAAGAGCTTCATAGTCATTATGGATAAGGCACTATCCATCTGGTATTATTTTTTAATAACCATGACCTGAAGGCAAGGCCCTAAAACGATTCAATAACATCATAAAATGACTTCTGGCAATTTTTGCTAATGCTGCTCAATAAGCACAGTGATTGGAAAATATGGTGGATAACAGATACAGTTGGAGAATTTGCTGAAAATTACCGTATATAAACAGGTTTCAGCACCTCTGTGATTCTGTAGTGAAAGGAATTTAAATCAGACATAAATATTAAGGGTTTATGTATCTGGAGCATTTCTATTGCATATTAGGGATCTCTAAGACCGTATTTCTCTCTTTTCTACAACTGCGTGACTTGAATGTATTTTGAACTGGAGATATTTTGTAAGTACAATCAGGTCTGAGAAATAATTTGACCTTGCTTTTTTGCTTTAATCTATAATGAACAGCTGCTCAGTATGACATCTTGTATGGGAAGTGTCTGCAAGTTAGTTTGTTTCGGGGGGGGGAAGCAACATATGAAATCAGACCGTGAATATAGATTTTTACTGATTCCTAAGGGCATAAAGTCACCAAGGGTACCAGCTTCTAGCAAACTTTTTCTGATTTCAAAAAGTTAAAGGGCATCACACTTGATGAGCTTTTGAACGGGTTCCATCCATGTATTTACTGGGAGAGGAGCTTGAATAAGAGTGTCTTTGGGCTCTAAGCATAGCACAAACACTTCTTAGCAACTTTTTTCCTCCATATCTACCTAACATTGCTGCCCTAGCAATTTATAGCTCCTTCCAGAGCAGTGTTCCTCAACCTTGGCAACTTTAAGATGTGTGGACTTCCACTCCCAGACTTTCCCAGTCAGCATACTGCAGGCACTGATCTATAGCCATCTATCTGTCTTTTCAGAAAAATAACAATAATCATATCGCTTCATATGACGGCTGGGTAATGCTCCTAGCCACTAGTGCAGAAATCAGTCTCACACACACCCCGTAAATAAGGCAGCTTGAAGTCATCCTTCAGTGCTGTGAAAATGCTCTGGCACGCTTCACTGCTCACCTCACCTCGTGCTGAGCAATACTTAGACGCATGCGCTGACGCAACTACGCATGCGTCTAAGTATTTGGGGGGGCTTATTTTCGGGGGGGGGGCTTATTATAGCACGTGCACTCAAAAGGTCAATTGGGCTTATTATCCAGACATCAGGGGTGAAATCCAGCAGGTTCTAACAGGTTCTGGAGAACTGGTAGCGGAAATTTTAAGCAGTTCGGAGAACCGGTAGCGGAAATTTTGACTAGTTTGGAGAACCGGCAAATACCACCTCTGGGTGGCCCCAGAGTGGGGTGGGAATGGAGATTTTGCAATATCCTTCCCCCAGGAGGGGAGGGAATGGAGATTTTACAGTATCCTTCCCCTGGAGTGGGGAGGGAATGGAGATTTTGCAATATCCTTCCCCTGCCACGCCCACCAAACCACACCCACAGAACCGGTAGGGAAAAATTTGGGATTTCATCCCTGCCGGACATGTCTTATTTTCGGGGAAACACGGTATCCTTTTTCTGAACTAAACAAGGTGGAACTCGCTCATTATCAATCACTTCCTCCTGCTCTGGCCTGCAACCTCTATTGTCAGCCAAAATTATTTTGAACATGGGTTTAGTGGAAGGCTAAACCAGTTTCTTGATATAACCTGATGGTCAGTGTTAGGTATAGAGGAGGAGATGAAAGAGCAGGGCATAAGGAGAGTTCCTTCTACTTCACTCGGTATCCCCCTCTTAGTTCTGTCACTGGTGAATCAGAATTTAGCAGGTGACTAAATCGGCTATTCCAAACGTCTGTTAAAGTCACCCTTTCCCATATTAGAAGAGTGATTCGTAGTTGTTTTTCAGCAGGCAAATCAAGCCGAGTGGGAAATGAAACTGGGGGACATTTATCAATTATAGAGAGTAAGGAAGATGACCTTTGCAAAAAATATGCAGAAACAATTACTGAGGAAAAAGGGGATAGAATATTTTTTTTAAATCCAGAAAGAGATAACATTTGGAAGTGGCTCAGGCAGACACCTCCCTAAATCACTGGGGGAGTATAAAAAGGGGGAGAAGACACAGACTTGCAAGAATCTGCTATTATAGCCAATCTCAATAAAGTAGTTTTACCTAATGGGGCGGACATAATCCCTTCCTTAACTTGGCAGCAGTAATAAAAGGCAGCTTAGTTTGCTGAACTCCTTATAGATCGACCACAAGCAAAATGTATGCCAACATATTTTTCAACTGGCTCAAGGACTGGTGGATAGCACTAATCTTGGCCATGAGCCCTTGACCTAGGGCAGAGGTCTGCAACCTTAAACACTCAAAGAGACCTGTTTCCCACAGAAAAGAAAACATCGGGAACCACAAAACCCTTCCTGTGCCTGACTATTTCTTGAGCAGCCACAAAACTAGCATATGTAGTTGAATTAAATGTTCTGTTTTCTTCTGAAACTTTTCTTTTCTTGGATTTATCCATGGTTGGCCTACCGGGGATTGAAAAGCTCAATAAATCGCGTGCCGGCGGGTGTCGCACATTGGTGGTTGTGACGCATATTTTGAGTGACAGGGAGCCACAGCAGAGGGGTGAAAGAGCCACATGCGGCTCCAGAGCCACAGGTTGCTGACCCCTTACCTAGGGGGAATAACTTCTTGGTGTTTTCAGATATGTAGATATGTATTTGTGTGAGCTCAGGCAAGAAATAAGTTAGAGAGAGAGCTCTGGCCCAAAGAATTTATGACACAAGTCATATAGAATTCACTGGCATCAACAATTTTAGAGTAGCTATCGAAAGTACATTCCTGCTAAGAGGTTTTTGCCCAGTTCTCAACTGAAGTGCACTCAACTCGAGTTGGCTGTATATTAAAATGAGGCGAGGCTTCCATCACACGGTTGTGCTACCATCGTGACCTTTTTTTTGACATGCATCTCCATAGACACACCTGGTCAATTTCACTTTTCCAGAAAGGCTGCCCATTAATTAAAAAAAACAAAGGGTCAACTTGTTACAAACAGCCATGGAAAGTTATGGGTGCAGTATTGCAAATATTGTGTACGCTAGTAAAACTTCATGATCTACTCAGAATCTATTGGACTTAAGCAGCAAATAATGTCCAATCCAATCCAATCCATCAATCAATCAAAAGAACCTTGCCAATTAGCTAATGATATTAAATCAGTGTTTCTCAACCTTGGTAGCTGGTAGATGTGTGGACTTCAACTCCCCAAATTCCCCATGCTGGCTATCCACACGTCTTCAAGCTGTCAACATTGAGAAACACTGTTCTAAACAGTACCATGTGACTTTTAGTAAAAAGGAGATGGCAAAGGGAACGAGATTATCTCATATAACCTTTCCCCAGAGGCAAGACAGTAACAGTAACAGAGTTGGGACCTTGGAGGTCATCTAGTCCAACCCCCTGCTCACGCAGGAGACCTATACTAGGGATTCGAACCACCGAACTGCCGACCTTTCTGATTGACAAGCTCAGCGTCTTAGCCACTGAGCCAACTAGCCAGGTTATTATAGGTCAGTGATGGCTAACCTTTTTACTATTGCGTGCCAAAAGTGGGGGAGCGTGGGGGGGGGTCGTGTGCATGCATGCCCACACCCATAATTCTATGTGTCCCACCCTCAACGTATGCATGCGCGACCCCCCGCGCTTCCCCCACTTTTGGCACGCAATGGCACAGTGGGCCCAGTAGGCCCGTTTTTTGCTCTCCCCAGGCTCCAGAGCCTCTCTAGGAGCCTAGGGAGAGCAAAAAATGTGCCTTCCCCACCCCCACAGGCCCTCCGGAGGCAGGAAACAGACTATTTCCCTACTTCCGGGTATGCGCCGGAACTGAGCCATGTGCCTACCGATATGGCTCCACGTGCCACAGGTGGCACGCATGCCATAGGTTCACCATCATGGTTATAGGTTATATAGACCTTTAGTCAAGTTTTGTGATGGATTTCCTTGTCATTAGAAATCAAATGGTTGGTTATCAGAGAGAAAGGCCTCCCTGGGGTGGCATCAATTTGGAAGTCCAGGGCATATCCTGGCCTTAAAACCTCCCTAATGTTCTGAAACAGAACAACAGTTGAGTAAATTGATGTTATAATTTAGCTCCGTTTTGTCATTTCATTCATGGCCTCTCTAGGAATGTCCAAAAGGTCCCCGTTTCTGCCCCCCCACCACCCCCTCCAATTCCACCTGAAAATGGTCAGGATGGACCTGAATGGAATGACTTGTCAGCCTGAAGCTCTCACAGAGAATTGACAGGCAGCAAAGGAGCTCTCTCCCTGTCAGTTGAGCCCAGAGAATGGCAGGCCTTACCTACTACCCAGGAACCAAAGCCTCCCATCACTCATTGTTGCTTTCTCCCGTTAAACAAAATAAATCATGGTGAATCCCTAACATTTTTGCTGGCCGTGGTGGCAAAGCATCACGGCCTTTAAACGTCACCGTGAGGCTAAGTGCAAGAGGCAGGATATGTGAAACTCTCTCCCCACCCCACCTTCTTAACAGCACAGAATGTCCACTGGAACTCCTGGCAGCAAAACATTACCACACCTAAGCAGGCTTCTCTCGTTGGAGGAGAGGCGATAACAGTCACAGGGATGTGCTGGGAAACATCGGAATGGCAATTGTCCAGCTGCGGTGTCAGGCAATCATTAGGGACCTGGACTTTCATCTGGAAACGTCCCAAGTTACAGATGTGCTTGTTTTCATTACGAACGGGGAAAGAAGGCTGTGCACTTTCTCCATTAATTCATTGCCATCTCCATTAAGCATACTTTGGGCTCGGCCCTTACTCAGAGGCTAAGATCTGGTATATCAGACCGGCACAAATGAAGCCTCCTAACAGTAAAGTGTAAACAATTAAGAAATAAGCCAAAGCTCTTTGGAGTTCTTGAAGAATTTCAGCTACCAGCCTTGTGAGCTTCTTCTTTCCAGACATGTCTCTTGGTACAGATACCTCCAAAGAGCTGTGGAGCTTGCGGCCTTCAGGTGTCCGTGGCAGGAGGGCTGGGGGATGGATTTTGAGATCACAAGAAGCCAGAGACTATGCTTTGCCTTCACTCAGTTTCCATTGTCTCTGCAGTGGGATCTTCCTGCATACATACAGGGGAAAAAAATGATGTTTTATTTCAGCCCTTCTCTGTCTTCTCCAGAATGGTGAGCAGACAATATAGAAGAATAAGTGAGAGAATATGATTCCCTTCTTTTTTTAAAAAAAATAACAACTTCCAACTTTCTCAATATTTTTCATGATATAAAGAAATTGACTGTTTTTTAAAAAAAACAAATATGAGTATCTGATAAAAGAGAAAGCTGATATATCAGTCCATTTATAGGTTTTCTACAATCTGAAATAAGTGAAAGCAATCCATGTTACTGTTAAAAAGCTCCTCTCTCCTGTAAGAACATTAAGCTCATCATCTAAGCTTAGCTGCATTGCAAAGACTGGGAAAATCTGGATCTCTTATTTAAACCGAACTAAATTCCATTGTCTATTTCCACAACAAAGATAGCTCTGCCATCCAGAAATTTAGCCTCCAGAGATTCTCCCTCTGACTTCCACATATGAGGGACGGCTGACATCAACCTTAACTGTTTACTAAGAATGCATGACCCCTTGTTTCAGAGATATGATTACCAGATTCCTCAACACCGTCAACAATGGCAGACTATCTAATGTACTAGAAAAGTTGTTAAAAATTCAGGGAGCTATCCAGAGATGTGTCTGCTTTTAAAATAGCCTATGTTGAACTGTATAGCACAGTCAAACACAAGGAGTTGACCACAGAAAATGTTTGGTGACATTTTATAACATTTGCCAAATTTCAACTCCACGAGAAGCTTGTGTCCCAGATTTTGGATGTGTTCTGTAACTGTAAAAAAAACCCCTTGCCCTATGATGCATCATTTTAGGTTACGGATATGAGAGTTTTAGTGGGCATATAGACTGCTAGGTTTATATATCATCATAATCGATACGGTTGATGCAATAAAAGCATTAACATATACAATTCAGTGATGAAATTCAGCCGGATCTATCCGGATCACGCGATCCAGTAAGGCCGGCGGCGGGAGGCTCCGCCCACCCGCCCGGACATCATCATGTCCCATTTTTTACCCTTTGTGTATGCGCAGAAGGTTCTGCATATGTGTGGAGGAGGCGCGCGCAAGCGTAGCATACATGTGCACACCCACTTTTGCGATCCGGTAGCAAAGGTAAGTGCATTTCATCCCTGATACAATTCATAAAACAAATTGCAAAACAATGAACTTATATTAACCACAGACTATGCCAATCCATGATCATCCAAAGGTTATCCAAAAAATTCAGTTTAAACCAATTTACAGGGAGTTGTCAGGATGGGTGCCAATCTGGTCTCTGGGGGTGGGGGTAGACACTATTTCACAATACAGGAGCGAAACATCCTAGCACTCACAAAATTGGGAAATTATCCAAGAAGAATGTACTTGATGGGTTAATTCTACCGGATGATTCCTTTGAAGAAAAAGCAATTTCATATTTTAGCAGCACCAAAAAGCTTATTTATAAATTGTGACATTTAATTTAAATTATCTCTCTGTATTATTACTACTTTGGGCCTGGCCCTACCTACTTTTGGAACTTATCCTCTAGGGCTCAAATTCCAAATCTAGTCCCAAGTTAAAAAAAAAAAAAAGCTGCACAGATGTACAATTATCTCCATCTTTTTTAATATAAAAGTTGTTTGGTTGTGCTTCCTCTTATTACAACTTTTTCACCGGAATGTGGCTGATTATGAAGCCTGTTTTGAGTAACAAGTTGATTTTATATTTAAAAGGGGGTGGGGTGGGGATCAACTACAGTTTGGTTCTTTATTTTTGAAACCTTTAGGAGAATTTTAGGTTTTCCTTTGAAATCATTTTTGCACTTCAAAGTATAGCCTAATTAAGTATACATATAGCCACTTTGGAAATGTCCACTTTCTTTGTTGAGGCCTCAGATACAAACTTTTATAAGATAGTTGGATGACACTAGCAATCCGGTATATAAATTTTAGAGAGATAATGCACAGTTTGCCTGTCACAACTATATTTAAACGTGTTATGTCTTGAATGCCAGCAAAACATCCTTTTCATACTATTTACCATGTTGCACAATCAAGCATTTGGTTGGTCTTTGAGTTGTTCTACCTGTTTTCCCGAAAATAAGACATCCCCTGATAATAAACCAAATCGGGCTTTTGAGCACATGCGCTAAAATAAGCCTCCCCCTGAAAATAAGCCCTCCCCAAAAATATTTAAATGCAGAGCTGGAAATCAGGTAAGACGGCAAAAGGAGCCCCATCTTGCTCCACATGCCCCAAATAATAAGACCTCCCCAAAAATAAGGCCAAGCACTTATTCTGGGGTTCAAAAAAATATAAGACAGGGTTATTTTCGGGGAAACACACGTAATGAAATGACTGCCCTAATTCAGATTTGAAGTTTTCTTTTTCTTAAAGCTATTGTGAATACAGTATCTTCTTTTTTATGCTTTATTCATTACAATGCTTTTATTTAAGCTTGCATATCTAGTACCCAAGCCCACTTCCTTCTTTCTATAGATGGTATATAAAAGCAATAATATAGAGAATATATTCTCCATAATATAGAGAATTAGAGATATTGCTTTAAGTCATCAGGATGCACAAACAACTTATGCTGCTCCATCTTTTTTTTTAAACAGCACTTTTTTTAAAAAAAGGATCCATGTCCATGTCCAGTTTAAAGAAATCTAAAGTAAAGATGGAAATAGTCAGAAAGGCATGGAGCACAAAAACAGGACACTCTGGATTACTCTGTTATATATTTATCCATTTATTTACTTTTAAAACCTGCATTCTCTTCTTTAAAACAAACCATTCCCAGGATTGCTTAAAGCACAGTAAGTAAAAAAAAATAAATAAGATTAGTTGTTGAAAATGAAACTGAGAAAGCATAAACAGCAGGCACTGAGTAAAAGTTTCACTGCAGGATAGAAATGTAAGATATGATATCAATATATTAAAAATGTTTAATAGAACAAAAATACCTTTATTCTGTTTGATACATTAGGAGAATGATCTGAAAGCGATGGAATGAAATTTATCAAAGACAAGTGAAAGGTGGTAGCTTTGTTTTTCATTTAAGGAACAAAAATCAGATGCACAGGTATACAAGGCTTGGCTGATAATGAGACTTGTCAAAACCAGAATCGATTGCAAACTGAATGTGAGCCAGCAATATGAGGCAGTTGCCAAAAAGAAAAAAAGAAAGGTAAATACAATTGGAGACGGCATCAACAGAAATATAATTTCTAAACATCAGAAATAGAATTGCTTTGAACAAACAACCCCCACACACCTTGAGAACTCCAGTTCTGGGCAGTCTACTTTAAAAAAAAAAATCAGAGAAATCAGAACAGGTTTGGGGTAAGGGCAATGAGAACGATCTGGAAAAGATGTTCTCTCAAGAGAAATTGCCAGAACTGCTGGGTATGCCTGGCTGTGAAAAAAGATAGCTAGATCTGTACAGCTCTGGACTGTAAGCCATCCAGAGTCACTTTATTGGGGAGATGAGTGGCATATAAATTTAATAAATAAATACAATAAAAATAGATGGGTATATGCTAGCAATCTTCACGCATCTGGAAGGATGTCACCTGGAAGGTCAAGACCTGTTTTTCATCATTCCAGTACAAAATAGTGGATTTAAGTTACAAGAAGATTATGGTGCAATACTAGACAAAAAAAAATCAAAATATCAGAGCAGTTTTGACCATGGAAACTACAATCAAGATAGGTAGTGGGATCCCTTTTATTAAAAGTGTTCTACTGAAGATGACCAACGTGGATTCTTGCACGAGTAGGTGGTTGGACTTGATGCCCTGCCTGGATCAATATTTCTCAACCTTGCCAACTTGACAATATGTGGATTTCAACTCGGCATGCTCGCTGGGGAATTCTGGGACTTGAAGGCTACACATCTTTAAGATGCCGAGATTGAGAAACATTGCAAGATTACTCCTTCCAACCACAGGATTCCAGAGGTTCATTCCAGAGCCAAGTAGCCACCACTGAAAAGGCCATTCCTAGATTGCACACTTTTATTTTTATCTCCATTAGTCAGCATTTTTAATGTGCATCTTTGTTTTTATTCATTGTAAATATCAGCATTCAATTGCACATAAAATCTAGCAAACTCTAAGTAATAATAATCACATGTAATTAGCAGGTACAAAAATTAGGCACAAAATCTATCTGGGGCTTCAGGATAGTGGCTTTCCTGATGGTGCCCCAACCATACCATTCTGGGAAGCTTCTACATTCATCTATTTGGAGACTGTGGGTCCTTCTTCTCCAGCCTACCATTGCACTGCTCCTTTAAAAAGTTAAATAAGAATAAGCACAAAGAAATAGCAAATGTTTACATATACTGCACTGCCAACATACCTTCCTTTCAATTACACGGGGTCAGGTTACGGCATAATTGGTATGAGAACAGGCATGCTGCTTCTGACAATGGTCCATTTAGTCCGCTAGGAAAGCCCACAACCAGGAAATTAAGGTGATGTCCCTTTCTCACAGTTGCTTCCTAGCAAACTATCTAAAAATACACAGCTTCTGGACAGGAAGGATCCATCTGGATTGTAGATGCCTCCTTTCATTTTCCTTTAAGCTTGGTTCTGCCCACGTAACTGAGATAATAGGAAAGATGAATTTGCAAGCCTCAGAATCTCGTAAGGCCCTTTGACCTGCACAAATTGGACAAGCAAAAATAATATACAGAACCTCCAAAAGAGGAAGCCCGACAAGAGGTCTTGAATGACCGTTCGAGCCTTTCGCTTACCTTTGCTTGCTCCTGAACTTTGGCGACTTACATCCAAAGATCTTCTCCTTCAGATCCCGTGTTTGGAAAACCGGAGGTGCCCTCCCATCTCAGCTGTTTCCAAACCTTCCCTGTGCAATTAAGCAGGATGCCGTCCTCGGCTGGCTGCAAATGATCCGCTCTGCTGTGCAACAATGGGGCTGGGTGACTGGTTCAGGGAGGGAGCCAAACAAAAGGTGGTGGATCTGAGCAACGGGATGCGATTGTGTAGCTCGCAGATTCTGAGGGTGGGAAAAAAAAGAGGTGGTGATTTACTGGCTTCTGCTGAATGCTGCTTCTTTCATCTGCCATTCCCCCATTCTCTTTCCAGAAGAGCTACTGCTTTTGCTGCTGTTGCTTGGAGACTCTGCTACAGTACTGCCTGCCCGATGCACCTCCTCGCCTATATTCTAGACTCCAGAGTGATCGATGCCCTAAAGAGAAAGGGCTGCCTGCTTTAACAAATGCTACAGCTTTATGTCAGACTGCTGGTTTGGTGAGATGATAATCTGAAGCCTGGATCAGGAGAGGGCCGATAATGCACTGACTGAGTAGTTCGCTGATCCCGTGGCTTTCTTCTAATCTCCCCTAAACACCACAGGCAGCAGTAGCAGCCCTTGCTAAGATCTAGGTAGAGGCACAGCTTCCATCATTATCGTTTCAAGGTTCACCTGTCTGCAAACATGCATATTTTTCAGCACATTTATTGACTTCATCCATTTTAAGGCAACCGCAAATATGTTTACAAGTGGAAAAGTTGTGAGGCTTTGGAAAGGGAAGGTGAGGGCAACCAATCAGAACCGGGCACAGCTGGCTTCTAAACAACCAGCCAATCAGAAGGCTAGAAGGAGAGCTTTCTTGTATATTATTTTTTATTTCCCCGAGGCACGCTCTGGTTAAAGGCAGCACAAGAGAGAAGACATCAGTCATATAATTAAAACATGTGGAAATGACTTTTTAAAAATGAGGTGCAGCAGGGCCAAATTAGAATAAAGGCCCTTAAGCAAAGATATTTTGTTTAAACCTGGTAAAGAATAATATTATGAACATGATGATGTGCCTTGACTGAAGCTTTTCTTAATTATTTCTGGTTTTAAAGAAAAAAGCTCTCTGGAAATTCTGGAAGAAAGTTCCCCCTGAGCTCTGGTTGGTACCACCCTGTTGGCACGCTGAAGCAGGGGTCTCCAACCTTGGCAACTTTAATTCTGGAGGACTTCACCTCCCAGAATTCCCCAGCCAATTCTGGGAGTTGAAATCCGCCATCTTAAAGTTGCCAAGATTGGAGACCCCTGCTCTGAAGAGCCATAAAGACCAGGCTGTTCTCCCAGGTTCTGGGCTAACATGATTTCTGCCCCTTTTGTCAATGGCTAGCGAGATCTTCTGGGGTTTGCTGGGTTCACAGTTTTCTTTCCTTTTTTTGTCCAAGTTTGATTTTGTTGTTCTTTATCTTTATTATATGGCTTTTATATTGTTTTGGTGTATTGTGAGCTGCCCAGGGCTGTTTAGAGTCGGGCAGCATCAAATGGAATGACATAATAAATAAATAATAAGTGTCTTATTATACACTCAAATGATCTTCGCACATAAGCAGCACAGATTTCTCACTGCTACTTTTTTCAAAACATTTCAGGCATAATTACAGAGGGAGACACGCACGATCCAACAATTATTCACAGATTTCTTGTCCTAATGAGAAAGTACATAATTCAATGCCCCTGGGGGGATAGGTAGTATATAAATAAATATTATTGTTTCAAAACTCCGAGACATAGGTCATTCACCTGCAAATGTTGTTTGTCCTATTATGCATCCTCTGATGTTTCTTCTGGTACTGTCTTTGCAGTAACTTCTGATGCTTTCTATCATCATTAAAACCTTCCTTTTCCAACAAGCCGGGCTGGCCTAATTCTTTTTAAATGTTTTTTAATTGTTTGGTTTATTGTTTTAATTAATGGGGCCAAATTTATATATATATATTTAACTGTATTTTAATATTTGTATTTGATGTTTTTATTTGGCTGTTCACCGCCCTGAGTCCTCGGGGAGAGGGGCGGTATACAAATTCAAAAATAAAATAAAAATAAATTTATTTCCCATAAGAAATAAACATTTCAATGGGTAAACCGTAGAGTGACAGAATGCACTTTTTGTACCTTCTGGATTGTACATAAAAAAAAGTAAAGTAATGATCTCTGCTTTCCAGATCTCATGAGTTTAAATTAGCGGAGCACCAAAACCAGAGGTTAAATGCTCCCGGTTCGGACCAGATCGCCCGATCCGGTAGCGATGGCAGCGGGTGGTTCGGAGAACCGGTAGCAAAAATCCCTGCGCCCCCCCCATGCCCAGCTGAGCCACGCGGTCATCAGAGGCTGTTTTTTTAATTTTTAAAAGCATTTTTCTACAACCTCTTCGGCCAAAAAAATGCTCTTAACAGTAAAAAAAACAGCCTCTGATGATCGCGCGGCTCAGCTGGGATCGTCAGAGCCTTTTAAAAGCATTTTTTCTACAACCTCTTCAGCCAAAGAGGCTGTAGGGGAAAAAATGTCTTTAAAAGCTTCTGGCGATCCCAGCTGAGTTATCTGATCGTCAGAGGCTTCTAAAAGTATTTTTTCTGCAACCTCTTCGGCCGAAAAGGTTGTAGAAAAAATGCTTTTAAAAGGAAAAAAAAAAGGTTTGCCACACCCACCCAGTCACATTACACCCCCACCAAGCCCTACACAGAACTGGTAGTAACAAATTTTAGATTTCACCCCTGACCAAAACTACCTAAATTTGGTCATTGGGTAAAAAAAAATTTGATTACTTCAGCCATGGACTTACACAGTGAAAATAGATGTTCTCACTTACTGGAAATGCTTGCAAACATTCTTACTCTAGATGGTCCAACGCTGGAAGTTTTAAAGAAGAGATTGGACAACCATTTGTTTGAAATGGTATTGGGTTTCCTGCCTGAGCAGGGGGTTGGATTAGAAGACCTCCAAGGTCTCTCCCAACTCTGTTATTCTGTAGATTTTCTATACGGACCAAAATATGTCCCACCCACTACCAACTCTATGATTTAGAAACATGAACCTTGTGGAATAAACTCTGTAACCAGGGTATATAAGACAACAGAATTCACTTGCAGAAGGTGCTCTTTCACCCCAGGATTGCTGTTTTACTGGATGTTATCAAGATAATATCCATTTGTTGTGCTGCAGTGCCACCTCTATGGTGGCCAAGGCTGAAATTGCAGCTTCTCAGTCCAGTCACGGTTCAGCTGTTGGCAGCTGGATTTTGAATTAATTTCCAGTTTATAAGTGGTCTTCAAGAGCAGACTCAATATATTGCAGAAACACATCTGGTGGCTAAATCAACTGTTACCAAAAATACACACTTTCTCATTGCCCAGTAGTTGTACTACATTAAAAGCATGAAATCTTTACAGATGATTCATCAGTACAAATAATTCTTGCTAGATTGCCTGTGAAAAGAGCAGGCATAACAGGCAGTACACAGAAATCAATCATACAGAGAACCAGTTTGATGTAGTGGTTAAGGAGCTGGGCTAGAACCAGTAGATTTTATTTATTTCTTTATCAAATGTATTTGCCATCCATCTCGTGGTTCAAGGCAACTCTGAGTGGCTTGAATCACAAAACTCCCTTAGGTATAAAAACTGGGTGGGTGACTTTGGGACATTCACTCCTTCTCAGTCCAGCCCGTTTCAAAGGGTGGTTGTCATTGTTGCAAGGAAAATGGAGGCAAAAGTATTAGATATGTTCACTTCCTTGAGTTATATACAAAAAAAAAGTATAAAATAAATAATAATACAGTAACATTTGCCATGTCACAGAGACTTCTAATGGGTCAATGAACAGCTGTATTCAAGCAACACATTTAAAGCCGTTGCTGAATTAACCTATTATCTGGGCCATGAATCACAAGCTAATTAAACAAGCTAGACATGCACCACATATCAATGTGCTGATACACAATTTAAGAGAGGGATGTGTGATTTTTTTTTAATGCAAGGGCTGCGTTTTGGCTTGGCATGCCACGACCTTATAAGAGTAAGGAAAAAGGAGTAATCTTTGATATCAAAATTTTGTTTTTATAAGCACTTCCCTGTATTTATCTGCAAACTCCGCCTGTTGTAAAAAAAAAAAAGCAGCTTTGAAATGTAGGGAGGCAATTTATAAGAATGCATTTTTGTGCTATATTTGAGGATTTTTAATTATTTGGTTTGCCTGAGATCTTGAAATGGGGAGAGGGGGTTGGATGCAGGGTCTTTAACCGCTTGCTGTTTACCTAGGTCAGCGATTCTCAAACACTGGATGCCAGGAGCAATATATCTATCTACTGAGAATCAGCGCAGCAGGCAGCATAAATTACACAAAGAGGTAAATATCTTACATCTATTGCTTTCCAACCCAGCTGGAAGCATGCAGGTGGTCACTTATATTGCAAAACACGTTACCCAGGCAGTCTCTGGGGGGGGAATCGCTGCGTTAGATGATCAGAACCTCCATTTTCAAAGGCATTCTACCCGTCGCAACTCCCCGATGCTATCGCCTTTCCGTCCTGCGTAGCGATTTCTCCTCTTGTAACTCCATAGAAAATAATCTCCCGCTTGATGAGATGAACCGCGTTTCTGCCTAATGGGAATCATCTGTTTTTTGTTTTTTTTCATTTCTATGCAACCAATCTGGATCTGCAAACAAATCCCCTTTGAAATAAACCGACAGCAAACAGCACTGATGATGCTACCTACTATACAGTGGTACAATAGTATTCACTACTGTATAGTGCAGGGGTCCCCAAACTTGGCAGGTTTAAGACTTGTGGACTTCAACTCCCAGAATTCTCCAGCCAGCATAGCTGGCTGGAGAATTCTGGGAGTTGAAGTCCACAAGTCTTAAACCTGGCAAGTTTGAAGTCCTGTGATATAGTGAAATATTAATGCAATATCAGGGGTTTTCAATTCAATTGTACAGAATGTGAAGGATGTGTGCTGGTGTTTTATTTTTATAGTTATAATGTACACTGAAGATGGCATTTAACTTCGTTGTACGAGGTGCAACGACAATAAACTAACTTAACCTAGTTTACGTCTCCCAAGAAAACAAGCAAGTACAGAGAGCAGCAAGGAGCCCTCATTTCCAACCCTTGAGCTGCAAATATTCTCCTTCGTTGGTGCCCTTTGAAATAAGCAGGTGACTCTTCCCTTTTCTTATCTCTACGCCGCAAGTTTCCCTCAAGCCAAAATTTAACACTATCGGGACCACAACTCTCCCGCCTCTGCCGTCAAAAGACGAGTCCCGATCGCCTTTTGCGACATTCCGAGACGCTCGCCTCGCGCCCGTTAGGTTATAAGTATACTCTTAGCTCTAGGCCAGGGCTGGGCAAATATTGCCCCTTTATGACCTGTGGACTTCAACTCCCAGAATTCCTGAGCCATCTTGGCTGTCTCAGGAATTCTGGGAGTTGAAGTCCACAGGTTGTAAGAGGGCCACAGTTGCCCACCCCTGTTCTAGGCGACTGTGGTTTTTGCGACTCGGCCACAAAATGAGGCCAGCCCTCTGTTGCTGTAGAGATACACACCCCCTCCTTCCCGTGCTCAGGTTTGCGGCGTTGCCGAAAAGCGACGCTATCACTGAATTAGACGACAGGGGGCCATCTTTCGCCGTGCCGCTCTGGCCCTGGAACAACTCCCACCACCACCACCCTACCGCGCACTCTCCAGCTCTGCTGTACGGCAGGGTCGCAAACCGCCACTGGGCGAGCGGACTTTGCGACGTTTGGGCGGAAGTGTGTCCTGAGGGAAAGAAGACGCGAGAGAGAAAGAGCGAAGACGGCCCTTCCTGATCTGTGACAGGAGCTCGCCTGAAAGGGAGGGAGCCGGAGGGCGGCCAAAGGCGGCCGGAGGGCTTCATGGGGAACGTGGGTAGCCACAGCGAGGGCGAGGAAGAAGAGGAGGAGGCGGCAGCGGAAGGAGGAGGGGGAGGAGGAGGAGGAGGAGGAGGAACGGCGAGCATCGTCACCTGGAGCAATAGTAACGGCAACTGGGCCGCTGCCACCAGCGAGTCACCTCCACCGGGAGCTATGGAGGCCGCCTTCCCGGGCGTAGCTTCCCCGCCGCCGGCTTCGTCGTCGTCGTCGTCGTCGTCTTCCTCGGCCGCCTCGACCCTCCCGCCGCCGGCGGTGTTGCTCGGACAGGCCCGGCTGCGCGAGGAAGCCGCCGCTCGCCTGCGCGAGGTGCCCTCGGCCGAGCCGCTGCTCTCGCGCCACCACGCCGCCCTGGTGCGCTGGCTGGAGGAGCGCCTGGGCCGCGGGGAGCACGCCATCAGCCTCGAGCAGCTCTGCGAAGCTTTGGAGATCCGCGCCGGACCCGCGCAAGGGACCACCGCCACCGCCGCCGGGGCAGGAGGGGACGCCGCTGCCGCTGCGGCCGAGGAGCGAGTCAGGAGCGAAGAGGTGAGCGCGGGAGGGAAAGGAAAGCTCAGGGCGGCCCGGGTTCAACTGCACCTGCAGGGCGAAAGGGCTGGCACCGTAACGCTTCTCTTCCAAGGATGGCAAAAAAAAAGAAAAAAAAGACTTGTTGCGCTCAGAGAGGCTTTCAGGGCATCTTTCTGATGTATGACGTGTATGATACGAGAATCATTGAACAATCAGAATAACAAGAGCTGGAAGGGACCTTGTAGGTCATCTAGTCCAACCCCACCCCACCCCACCCCCACCCAAGCAGGAGACCTTACACCATTTCTGACAGATGGCAGTCCAATCTCTTCTTGAAAGTCTCAAGTGATGAAGCTCCCACAACTTCCGAAGGCAACTTCTGTTCCATTGGTTGATTGCTCTCACTGTCAGGAAATTTCTCCTTATTTTTAGGTTGAATTTCTCCTTGATCACTTTTCATCCATTATTCCTTGTTTGGTCTTCGGGTGCTTTGGAAAATAGGTTGACCCCATCCTCTCTGTGGCAGCCCCTCAAATATTGGAAAACTGCTATCATGTCTCCCCTGGTTCATTCCATTGTTCTTCCAATGGAATAGCAACCAACCAGTGGAATAGTTTGCCTTCAGAAGTTGTGGGTGCTCCAACACTGGAGGCTTTTAAGAAGAGACTGGACAGCCATCTGTCAGGAATAGTATAGGTCTCCTGTGAGAGCAGGTAATTGGACTAGATGACGTCCAAGGTCCCTTCCAACTCTATTACTGTTACTGAACTGCAGTCCTGTCTAGAGCTCACTTCCTGCCAGGTTACACCATGTTCAGACCTAAGGAACAATGTTCAAAAGAACAGAATGAAGTCACTTCAAAAAAAAAAATTGTGTGGGACAGTGTTTTTGTTTTCCACTAAAGATGCATGGAGTGACTCAATAACTCGGTTACATTTAGTACTCAATGTATTATTGGAATTTCATCTTTGGCTTTCTCCTGAACCAATTAGCAGGCTTCAAGCATGTGCAGTTTTCACCAAGGATGCCATTAGGGGATACATTTGAAATAATGAGATTTGGAATGCCTGCAAACATATTTTAAACCATGTATACTTGAACCGTAGAGAAATGAAGACCAATTGTCAGTATGATTTTAATGGAGTCCTTTCAGCATGTTTATTTTTAGATAAATACAGAGTACTAATCCTAATGTTTCCTTTTGGGGCATCAGTATTATGCAGAAAAAAATAGTAAACAAAATAAATTAGAATCTACTGGAGTTGGCTGACAGTTAAAATTTAGATTGAGTAATGATGGCAAGAGATAAGTGAAAAAGGTAAGTAAAATCTAATGAAAAATTTTATACCTTTTCCCCCCCCCCTTACCTATCATTGTTTCCACTATGTCTGTACACTGTCTCATACATTACTTTTTGTTCTTTAATCCCACTGTATTCAACTTTTCATTTTTTTCCTGACCAACTCTTCTGTATAACAAAATGGTTAGAAGCATGTTCTTATATGGCATCATTTTTCTTCTTCTGGCAAGCATTCATTCACAGACCATATATTTCCCCTGCCTATCAATTTTTCTTAAAATTTCTATCCATTTTCTCAAGTTTAATAAATTAGACATATTTCATCTTATTCTATTTTTTTGTGATTTATCTCTAAAGCCAGCAATTGTTTACTGCATTTTATTGTCCAACACATTTTTGTTATATTATTGTAGGTCCATATTCCTTGTCGCATCATATAGTGCAGTATTTGTGGCAACTTCTTTAGGTTCTTAGCCAACAACTTTATTGTTACATATAAAAAGTACAAGCATGTTTATGCAATCAATGACTCACACCAAATAGCTGTTGGCCATGCTTGATATATTCTCTTTATCACAGAGAAATGATCTGATAACAGGAGACTTTTGCACCAGTTCTTGTTGCAGACAGATCATTCCTCATGAAAAAGAGTTTAATGGGGGTTGCTAACCTCCACAGGGAGAAAGCATTGATTTAAGATGACCTGCCTGAAGTGCTTGATGAACATACAGGGTTTTCAGATGGGTTTGGGGAAATTCAACAATTAGGGCAGCTTTATGGAATGTTTTGGTAGCCTCTTGAATATGAAGGCAATAAGTATATACATAGGGCTGTTTCTTTCAGAGTGACTTAGTTTTCTGATGAGTTTGGGGAAATTAAGTTAGCAAAGAGATACTTGGAGCAAGCTTGGGGAAAACGTGTGAATACAGCTGAAAATAGGCATGAGCAAAAAATTTGAGCCTACCTCATGTAATAAGGGCAACAAAGCAAGATTACATTTCTGTGAGATGGGTAGCATATAAATATAATTCAATAAATAACTTCTCACTCTTGTTTTGTCTGCAGAGTATTTGCCCATTGCAGAATTCAGAGTGTCCTAAGCTCCTCTATAGAATTACAGCTAGAAGTTCTTGCTGGGAAATTACCTGGCAATTACCTGGTTAAGCATTTCAGGGATAAGGTTGCTCATATTTCTCTTTGAAGCTGGGCGGACAGTATCTTGCTAGCTCCAATGATGTTATATCTAGTAGGGTAATGAAACTTCTGCAAGAAAACAACCAAACTCAGGGAGCACCAAGGATCCCACAGTATCTTAAAATATTGCAGAAATGACATATTTACCTGAGTGGGCTTTGAGCCTGTGGCACTTGAGGAAGTGAGGAAATTGTTGAGAAAATGAGGAGCAATAATTAAAGCTCTGGAAGACATGTGATATCTTGCAGTTGGGAAACAGGCCGTAGTAAGGAGAAAAACTGCACTGATTGTCCTCATGGTTGTGGGCTATCATGACTGTCCTTATCCTCTCAGTGACAAATGCTGTCAAACACTGGGCCATCTGTGAGGATTGGGAATTGGAGGCATTTTTTTGTATTGATTACACTTCTGTTTGAGTGGGTGGATCTGACCCTGGCCCAAAAAATCCTGGCCTTGTTAGACCCTTGATAGGAAAAAAGGTTTATACTTAAGCCAAGCAAAATGGAGTGGATGTTAAGTCAGAAGCTGGCTGAATCCAGGTTAATGTCAAATATAACTCTTAGTAGGGTTATCCTTACTCAGCACAGGTTTACTACTACAGTTTTTTTGTTTGTTTGTTTCATAGTACCTATTACAAAAGCAGATGGAAGTTGTAGCTTATACTGCCTTTTGTTCAGCTCTAGTCAATGCACGAATTATAGATTGGATTACTATAATTAGTTTTTAATGAAATTGCCCTCAAAAACCACCCAGGAACTTCAGCTGGTCCTAAATGCATCAGCACCAGCAGTTAAACTTACTGAGCAATCTAGACATTGCAAAGTTACACTACTGTTCTGAGAGCTATATTGATTA